ATAGCCTTCTACCCTTAGACGGATAGACAGACTAAGAAAGCTAATTAGACGCTTAAGCAATACCTACGCTACTACTACGGCACGTAGTAGGACAGCTAGGCGTAATAGCTACCTATAGCTRAATTTGCGTRYAATAATAGCGTATACGCGGGCCTTAAARTAAGCCCTTTCTAAATCCTCTACGGATAGAACCTAGAGCTAGCGACGCGCCCTCTAGGCGACGGCGCTAATGCCTAAGACATCGCTCGGGACGAGCTCTTAGAAGGGAGAMTRCCGGCCGCTATMGACTTAGCGAAGCGYATRCGTAGCGTAYATAAGGAGCTTACTAAGCGATAGCGTRAAGCTAAAGAGCAACAGTTAAAGTACTAYAATAAGARCTAYAAGCCTATAAGCTTTAATGTTAGTAATCTAGTGCTTCTCTCTACGAAGAACCTTAAGCTAGAGGGCAAGAAGAAGATAGGACCTAAATAGCTAGGCCTATACCGCGTAATTAACGTAATCGGAACTTAGGCGTATYGCTTATAGTTACCTACCTTAGTAAGGATCTATAACGTCTTCTACGTTACTCTATTAGAGCTATATTCTAGCCGGAAGAGTAAAGCGTAAGAGGAGCGTATRCTACTCGTAGTCGACGAGGATAGGTAGTAGGAGGTTAAAGAGATCCTTAATAAGAGGGTATAAAAGGGCGAAACGTTTTATTTAGTAAAGTAGCGTAGATAGCTATTAGAATATAACTAGTAGGAACCTAGTGCACATATTAAAGACTGCGAAGCTCTCGATAGGTTCGAGGCGTAGGCTCCGCGTAAGCGTAGAGGCCGCGTAGTAAAAGAGGCTCGGAAGTAGAGCGGAGTAAAATAGAGGAAGAGTAATAAGAATTAAGTAGTTTTATTACGGTTAGACCTAAAGGGGATTACTTTATAGACTATACTATAAGATAGGCGCATACGCTACGCAAGCCTAGAGAACGCGCTAAGCACTCTACTTAAACTTATTCTCCTCCGCCTCCGACTCCTCGAATAGCTCGTTTCTAGCTAGGGCAGTATCGAAGGCATTAGTAGACTACCCTATTATCTCTAACTACTATATAGACGGTTAGCATTATAGACGTATACGAGGAGTAGGCGAGACACTTACGACACGACCGACTTAAGCAATAGCTATAAGATTGTTCGTTAAGCGAGTAAGATTAGGCGCCTCGACTACGCTACTTATACGCCGTAYACCCGAGGTAGGCTCGTTAAYACGGATCTAAGCATCTAACTTAATACTAAAGGTRTTTRCYGCCGCCTTATAAGCCGCTTCCTYCTAACTGCCCTTCTATATAGTAGYATCTACTAGATTAAGCTCGTAGGCCGTAGCTATAACGCTATCGTAGCGTAGGCGYATCGCTACCGGCACGGGTTTATACTTATAATAATTGTTCCTTTAAGGGAAGTTAGCGCTACGTAAGAGAGGAGTAGGCGTCTCGAATAAGCGTYACTTACTTATAGTAGTCGTACTTRCGCTTAAACGCGCTAAAGACCGCGTTRTAGCGATAGCTAAYACGAAGGTGTACTAACCGCRTATAGCGGCGATAGGCCGTAGGCACCTCGACGGCGCGGCGCTTACTTACCGACGCTTAAGCGGGGGTCGCYRGCGGRTCGGGTGCGCTACGCTTACGGGGAGTACGTAGCGGTATARTAAAGAGTAGATGTTTAGAAGAGAAATCTATAAGGTAGAAAGAATGTTAATAAGAGGTAGTTACTAGGGTGTGTTACTTAGYAAAYAACCTACTTARAGATCTRTAGATATAAGACCCTTACGGAYAGTAGYGRTAACGTATACGCCGCGTAGTAGGGGACTTATTAACCCTCTTATCGAGTAGCGGTTATTAAGGGAATTAAACCCTCGCCCTTCTAGGTACGGCATTTAGCCTACTAGAAGGAGGATGAAGTTCCGAAAGCGGCTACATCCTATATAGCTAGTTTRACTAGCCGGCTTTTATATAAATAGCCCGAAGGTTGCTTAGAAAATAGGCACTTTACTATATAGAGTCTACGGACCCCGAGCGCGACGTATACGACGCGCGCGCGCCTCTATTTCCTAAGTCTACGAACTAAGGCCAGTTCGTATAGGGGGAAGGAGGTAATTGTAAGGGCCGTGTAAGAGCCCTTATAATAACAGGATTAATAGAGGTAGCTAGATTAACCAACCTTAGAGAAGGGAGTACAATGTRACCTAACTRCTTAGCGTAGGCTTAGCGCATGCATAACTCCTACGCACAGCGTACATTTAACCTACAAGAATTAGTCTTATCTCTAATCGWGTAATTACGGGTGTCTAATACATTACTACATCTTTACCCTTATAATAAGAGAGATGTAAAGTAGGTTAGCCCGGAACTATATAGACTATAAAAGGAGCTTAGCATCCGTATCGCTTTTATATAACGAAAGCCGTCGAACTTATCTTCCTAGTACGGATACTAGCGTCGAGATCCTCTAAATAATACTACGTCTAATAACGTCTCTTACCCTTCTAAGGGCTACTAAAGTACTACGCTCGCCGTAAGACCCTAATACGAACGACAAACCCTCTCTACCTATTAATTATACCGTATTTTTATAAATAATATAATAACGAGTCTCGAGCTTAGTATCTTAAAATTCTCCGTCGAGCATTATATAACTAAATTTAAACGTCTTAAACTATATATATATAGGCTCTTAAACAGGATTATATCGATACGGCCGATAGTGTCTCCTAATATACTAGATTAAAGATATACGGATGCCTCTAGAAGTAGAGTATAGTAGAGWTCCCGTTTTTATATAATAATAGGTCCGTGCGTTTTTATAGAGTCTCGGCTTAGTCTTCTTTTCGTCTCTACCTATTAGCTCGATAATAGTAGAGTACTATAATTTAAGCCGCTACTACCGTATAGTTTTATATAGGTCCCCGCTAAAACAAGAGAAAATTTCGCCGCGAAATATTACGGGATAAGTATATATCTTTATCGTATATAGTTTCGATATTTTTATAAGACGGGATCGATACGGTACTATTAGAACCGTTTAAAGACGTTAGATTAAATAACCTAGGACTAGTATAAGACTTTCGATTTAGTAAGCCGAGATWTAATAAAATGTAGCTTAATAGCCTAATTAATCTATATAGCTAGATAAATCTATTAAGGTAACCCTACGGCCTCGAATCTAGGCGTATTAGGCGATTAATATTTAGATAGCCCGCCGCACCGTCTTAAATATATCTGTTATAGTATTCCTTATTCAGACCGCGTAGGTTAAGGACTCTTTTAGCGAATAGAAGATGGAAAATAGWAGATGGAAGATGGAAACGCCGTTTTTACTACTACAACTACAACCACACTACAGACAGAATCGACCTGAAGTTCCGTTACAAAAAAGCACCCCTCGAATTTCCGCCGCCGACTTCTTGAGAGAGAACCTCACTCTGCCGTCTCCACCCCAAACCTCCATCATCATTATCGTCATCTTGATCGTAGAAAGATTCCTTAATCCTCAATCCATACCCTCCATACCCTCCTCACCATCCCCACCATCCCCTCCCTCCATTTCCTCATCATCCTCATCATCCTCCTCCCCCTCCAAAACCTCCAACAACCCCCTCAAGCGTCCCTCGGCCTCAACATTCAACCTCTCCAATTCCAACACATCCTCCTCCTCCTTCTGGATTTTCTTCTCGGCCTCTTTAATCAAGGCGTTGGTTCCCAGGAGGGATTTCTTGAGCGTGGCTTTGTGCTGTTTGGCTTGTTTGATGCGGTTGAGATTTGTTGTGGCGATTGATGTGGTTGTTGTTGTTGTTGGGGAGGATGTTGAGGAAGTGGTGAGTTTGGCACGTTTGGTGGTTGCGGTTGTAGTTGGAGTGAATGTGGATGTGGTGCTAGTTGGAGTGGATGTGGATGTGGGGCGGATGGAAGTTGTGGTTGGGGCTGCTGCTGGGGTGGCAGTGATGGTTGATGAGGGAGCGGGGGAAGAAGTGGTCGGGGATGTTTCGGGACGCTTGCGTTTGGACGGGGCGAGTGTTGGTGCGGGCTTTGGTGGAGGCAGGGGTTTCGCGGGAGCTGGTGCCATTGTTGGGACTTGTCGGTGATGCTGTTCTTGTTGACGGTGCTGATGAGCGTGGGTCGTGTCGGAATTGGATTTGGCTTGCTTAGCATTCGCATCAAGAACAGAGGAGCGGAGTGGAAGACCCGAAGAAGAGGTAGAAGGGGTGGCAGCAGCTTCAAGTTTGCCGCGTGAAGCGGCGGGCTTGGTGTTTGCCGCCGCTGATGGCTTCTTCGACACAACTCTTCTCGGCTTCACCACCGATGCGGCGGAGGCCACATCTTCTTTACCTCCTCTGGCGTAGTACTTTCCATCGCCTTTCAACACCGCGACGGAATCCACGCGTTGATGGTAGATGGCGACGGCGGCGGAGGGATCGGTGAAGTGTTTGCTGCGCGTGTAAAGATACGCGTCGAGGTGAGCACGTGGGGTGCCGCCCTCCTCGAGTTCCGTCGCGATTTCTCGCGCGCTGGGAATGTAGAAATTGTCCGACATTCTTGGCTGTGGAGGGGGATCGTCGGGAGGAGGTGATGGTGACGGTCGTGACGGCGGGAGTAGGGTGTTGCGGGAGGAAGTGGAGGTGGTGGTGGCAGAATTGGAGGTGGAAGTGGTGGGGCGGGGTTTGTTTGCTGCTTCATTGGCTTGCGGTGACGTGGGTCGGAGATTCAGTCGAGGAGACTGCGGCGGGAAGCTCCACTCCGGAGCGGGGAGATTGGGTGTTGGAGACAGCGAGGGAAACTTCCACTCAGGAGATGGGAGAGTAGCGGCTCGGATGGGAGGAGCGGATGCCGATGTTTGGGATGTTGCTGAGTCGAAGAGGGAGTCGAAGTCGGTGGGGGGTTTGGTCACAGTGGGCGGAACTGCTGATTCCACCGCGCTGGAAAGTCGACTGCTTTGGTGTTGGACGTCGTCATTGCTGGCGGCGAGGAAGGATGGCCAAGGATCATCAGGGATATCGACCTGTATCAATACATTCTCCTCCACATCAACATCATCCTCACCCTCCAATTCCGTCATGGGCTTCGGCTTCTCCGGACTCGGGAACAACTTGCCCCCCAACTTGGCCTTCTTCTTCGGCTTGGGAGTGGTGGCCCTCTCACTGACATACTCCACCTTGATCACCCTCTCGGGAGAAGAAGGCTTCCCTCCTCCCACGAACAAAGTACTCCCATCTTCCGTCCCATCCTCACTGAACGGGGTATTGCCCGCCTTGCGCTTGTGATGCCCCGTCTTCTTCATCGGCTCCACCGTGATGAACTCCCTCCCCTCGCTCTCCCACGCCTCAACCTCCAAAACTTTCCCCTCCTCCCTCGCCACTCCTCCGGCCTGCAGAATGGCCTCCTGAGAACGATAGTAGAAGCACATTTTCCCCCACGCCTTCTTCCCAAACCGCGTCTGCTTGAAGCGCGTGCGATGCTGAATGCTCCGCTTCGACTTGATCTTATCATCACTCGTCAATTGCAATTCCAGCGCATACTCCGGCGGGATATCCGCCTGACGGACTAAATCTCCCACTCGCTTCTTCCAACTCCCCACTTCCACACTCTTCTCCGCGTCGTCGTATTCATCGCGTGTGTGTTGATTGACGCTCGCCACAAACACCAAACTTCCCACGCCCGGTCGTTCACCTCCTGCAACTTCAAACAAGTCATGCGGATTGAGAGGCGTCACGACGAGATTACCCTCGTACAAATCCTTACTCAATTCGCTGCTCTTCCAATCTTCTGGCGTGGGACAGTCAATAGCATAGTCGAATTTCCATGACTTTTGTCGGTGCTTGACCATTCCATTCTGACTGTCGCCTTCGATGCGGTTCTCGCGGACCAGTGTTCCGTCAGCCACCCAGTCGAATTGACCGTGGAGGATTGACCCGTTCCACACCCACTTCACGACAAGCTGGTCGTTGGGGCGGACGGCAATGTACGTGTCGAGGTAGCCATCGGCGGAAGCGATGGATGAGGTGGAGGGGAGTTCATATTCCGAGGCGGGGATGCCGTTGACTAGGAAGATGAGCTCCAAGTGTTGGTCGGTACCGGGGCGGTGGATCCGCATTGTGGTGTTGTTGGTGGTGTGCAGAGAAGGAAGGTGAGCTTGACGAGGTAGATGTGTGTTGGTGAATCAACACGTGAAGATTTCGAAACGTCGGCGACGCGGCGGAAGAAGTAAACTTCAGTTGTTGAAGTTGTGGACGTGTCGAAGTTGTTGACGTGTCGAAGTTGATGTTGCGCTTGTCGCGTTTGTTACAGTTGTCAAAGATGATATCGAATAACGATCGATCCCCACTCAAACGAAGCATACGCACCGTCGAATCGCTCTTCATGCGCAGCGCGCAGTGCTTGTAGTATGGAGAGTCCGAGATGAAGGTGCAAGGCAGGAGGAATTTGATGGAGATGAATGGATGGARGAAGAGGAGAGCAAAGATTGATTTCAAGGGTAGGCCGTGGACTTTATACTTGTGCTGAGGTATCCTCAGATACCACTGCGAGCATGTGATGACTGGAGTTTTTAGTCCGAGGCAATTGAGAAATGACGAGATGTAGATGAAGATGAAGTAGAGTCTGCCTTGTTTTCAAGGAAAGAGGACTTTTGGTGGGATGGTAGCAATGAGACCAAATGAAAAGGGAAGTTTCCTTCATCATTACTTACTATGCTCATGTCCAGCACATCGTGGGTAGGATGAGGCAGAGCATATCGAGTGCTTAAGCAGGCACACCAAGATGTCAAGCGAGCATACCAAGATCTCGAACGCGAGACCTCAAGACTCTCAGCCAGAAAGGAAGGGAACAGCACTCACGCTTGCATACACCACTCGACGCATCTTCTCGCCGCCCTGTCCTCCCTCCCCTTCCCTTTCCATACCGCTCATGCTCTCGACCGATTGATTTCCCGCGGACAGACTGTGCCCAGCCTTAATTTCCCTTCCTATTCATGACCCTGCCATAACCCAACGCCATGCATCCGTGGATATCATATCGCGCAAAAACGCCAAAAGTAATGCCCCATCATGCCAATTCCAGATCTCATGGTCAGAGATGCCTAGTATTCCCCGCTTGACTCTGCTCGGGTCGTGAAGGCCACAGCATCATATAGTCGGCCATTAGCCATTCTTGTGGAACTCGACCACCGTATTTGTTCTCAAGCACCCTCATTGTACCCGAGAATCCTTGTTGAACTCCACCACCCTCATTGTAGTCAAGCATCCTCAGTAAAGTCATACCACCCTCAGTATACTCAAACAACCCACCGAAAGCACTGACTAACAGCAACCCAATCCCTCCCCCTCCCCGCTCCAGCCCTCCCTCTCACCTCCTCCGAACTAGGTACCAACACAAAACTCTCCGCAAAACCCCTCATCTCCCCCTCCTTCCTCTCATTCAACCTAACAAACCCACTAACCTGCACCGCAACACTACAATTCCTCTCCGCCTCCCCTTTAGTCCTCGATTTCCCGGGATCCAAACACGGATTGATGATGCTGGCATTCATACTTTGGACTTCGTGGTAGGTGTACGGCATGGATTCGTAGGCGTTTTGGAAATCTTCACCGGAGTGCAGCAGGGTGCCGTTGTAGGAAATTAGAGGGATGGTGCGGTTGGGTGTTGGGGAGGGGATTGTTGGGTGGTAGAAGGATGCCAAGGTGGAGCGGTTGGAGAGGAGGGCGTCGTGGTAGGTTTCGAGAAAGGTTTGGGCTACGTTGGCTGAGATGCGGGTGCGGTCTGTGTCGGAGAGGACGTGGCTTGGTTTTTCTGAGGCGGGCGTGTGGTCTGCCATGATGGGTGATGTTGATGGAGGTATTCTCCACGGGTTGATTGAGATGATGTTGATTGATTGGAGATGTGGATTGATTGGGACGATATGGATTGATTGAAGATGTGGATTGATTGAGATGAAGTGGATTGATGGAGATGGACTGAAGACGCCAAGATTTCACGGAGACGAGTCCGGAATGGACCCACCAAGCACAAGCGCACCTTGCACAATTCCTTCCACTCCACCTCTGGCGCATTCGTTCTTTCCCCATCTTCACTTCCACCACCAMCCTCACCCACCACATCTCCTCCCCACCACCGCCGCCATGCCTCAGGAAGTCACCGACATCAAGTCGTTCATCGAGATCTGCCGCCGCAAGGACGCTTCCTGTATGTCTTGTCCCTGACCTCAAAATCGCCAAATTCCTCCAAGATGGCCATACTGATGAACTTCCCAGCGGCGCGCATCAAGAAGTCCCGCGTCGCAAACCAGACCAAGTTCAAGGTCCGATGCAACCGTTACCTGTACACTCTTGTCCTTAAGGATAACGACAAGGCGGAGAAGCTTAAGCAGTCTCTCCCACCTGGTAAGAATTTCTTCATCAATATTTTCATTGCATCATTGATGAGTACACTCACTAACATTGTTGTGATAATGCAGGTCTTTCCATCTCCGACACCCCCAAGAAGAACGCAAAGGGCAAGCACGTGCAGAAGACGGCTTAAATGGACTGAATCATGTGGAAAAAGCGTGGATGAGATGATGATGGGGAATTTGCAGTCATGACGCTGGAAACGGTGCAAGACTCGCATAAGATCAGATCAGACATGACATGACAAAACAAGACAAAAACCAGACAAATTCCACCTCACGCGCACAATTCTTTTTTTTTCCCTTCCTCCCCACCATCAAATTTTTCTTGATGTGTGTGGGTGAGGGGGGAATAAAAGTCTTCGCGTTCCATCATTCATCTCTACATTTCCCACCGAGGAATTTGAGGGATTTTCGGTGTATACTGTCGCTTCGGCGAGAGGAGAAGGTGTGTAAGATTATTGTCTTTGCGGTGATTGGCGTGGGCTGTCATATGAATGCCGCCCTCCGCTCTTGATGATGAGAGGGGACGGGAAGAAGAATATGGTGGTGTAAGTGGTGTGGAGGGATGGTTGTGCTTTTTTCTTTTATTTCTTACTCTCTCCTCTCCTTGCCTTGCCTTGCCTTCATTGACGCGGCCTGCAGTTGCACATGCCCGCAATCTCTTCACATGCGCGTGTTCCTTGTCCAACTCTTCCATTTCATCTACATTCAAAACACATGGACATCCACCATTCAATACACCATCTCTCCAATTCCATCTCTAGAGTCCCTCCTTCCACCACTCCAACAAAACATCACCAAGAATGTCCTGCAACATCCTAGTAACAGCCGCAGAAGATTGTCCTCCAACATGCACTCCCTCCCCCCTCCCCTCTCCCGAAATCCGCCTCTTCTGCCACACTCTCTCAAATTTCATCCAATATCCTCCTCAAACCGGCGACAATGGCATTGGTGGCGGTCAAGGAGCTTTCGCCGGGACAGCATCACTTACCCCAGCTACGGCTGCTGACCTGCCAACGCAATCCGCTGGTGCTGGGGGGTTCATCATCACGCAGACAAGTGTGAGGATCGTGACTCTTTCATCATCCCCATCAACCGTGTCAGCGGACGGGAGTACCACGGGGAAAGTATCGATGACTTCCTTTTCTTCCCCTTCCTCGACGAAGACGGCGACTTTTCTACCTTTCGGCACTCCCAAAGCAACATTCACAACACCAACATCAAATTCCCCCACAGCAATGCCCGCATCACCAACAACAGCCGGTGCGGCAAGTGCAGCAACTCCTTCACCCCGCCACAAAACCTTCATCCAAACGACCGCAGGTTGGGTGACGATTTTCCTCGTCGCCATGTTTCTCCTCCTGGCAGCCATTCTAGGAATCTGGCTCTGGATGCGGAGGAAGAAACATCGAAAAGTGAAGCAGCAAGGACTTGAAGGTGTGAGGGGTGACGATGCTGATGAGGCGGCTTTGAGGAGAGATGTAGGGGATTGGGAGGGTGTTGCTGGGAATGGGAATCATGAGGGGAATGCCGCCAATCCTCCTCCTCCTGTTCCGGTGACGATTGCGGGACCTGAGTATCGTGCTTCTCCGCCTAGGATTAAGAAGATCTCTGGTGGTGGTGGTGGTAGTCAACGAAGACCAAATACTACCACCACTACTACTCCTACTCCCACGGCAGCTACAAAACACTTAACAGCTCCTCCTCCCCCACCCAACCAACCCTCCACCTCCACATCCCGCCAAACCGGCATCTTCAACAGCACCCAACGTCCCAACCCCGCCGCAAGCATCCTAGAATGKGAATCCACCCACGCCACCTCCGGCCTCCCTTCCACCACCTTCGAAGAAGACGACGTCGAAGCTGCAGCCGACCGCCTCGCAAACGCCGCTCGAGCCCATCGTCTAAAACTCGAAGCAGATGCCACTCAAGCTACGCAAGAAGTCAAAGATAGTTGGGATTTCCGTAAGAATATCACTACGGGACCGCCGAGACCGCCTTTTAAGGTTAGTTTGGGGATTGGACCGCGGGCTTTACGTCGTGAAGTTGTCGAGGAGGAGGGCAAAGACGGAGACAATGATAAGCATGATGAGGATCGGGGGAAAGGTAAAAGCAAAGAAAAGGCCCGAGAAGTTTCCTCGACAATGCAATTCTCAACCCAAGAACAAAGGGATAGAGAAACGAGTATCCTCGCCATGATGGATCTCACCGCTCCGAGATTCAAAGGCCAGGACTTCGATCCGAGGTCTTCTCCTTCCTCTGCTCAAGGTCCTTCAGCAACGCCACCACCACCACCACCAATACCTATGAGATCTATTCATCGACCTATTTCCCCCACTTCCACTTCCCCGATCTCTCCTTCCCCCATCTCCATCCCCCTCAAGCCCGATGGTGATGGAAATGGAGATGAGGAAGAACTCTCCCGCCGAAAAGCCTGGATGGCAGAAAACCGCGCCGCTCGCGCTCGCGCACGGGCACGCGCTGCCACCGCCACTGCCACCGCCGCCGCATCCTCCTCCCCCTCAGCAGATCCATCTCCAGACTCTCCATCCCCCCCAAAGGCCGCAGTACCAATAAGAAGAAATTCCCTCGGACACCGAATGGCGAATCCCATCCCCGATATGGAAACTCTGCAGGATTTACGGGTGGAATGGGGACCTGCGGGGCCCGTGGTGGTGGGGAATCCGTTGAAGGGGTTGCCGGTGGATTTGGGGAGTTTGGGGAGGAGGGCTGTTAGGATTGATACTGGGAGGTGGGAGAGGGAGTTTTGGGAGAGGGAGGCTAGGGAAGGGAGGGAGAAGGATGGGGGTTTGGAGAGGGATGGGATGAAGGGGGATGAGGGGAAGATGGATGGAGAGAAGGATGGGAGTGGAGAGATGGATGGGAGGGAGGGAAAGGATGGGAGTGGAGATCAGGATGGGAAGGGCAAGGGAAAGGGAAAGGGTAAGCCGCGGAAGTAGATGCTTGGGATGAGGGAGGTTTTGTGGACAGCTTTTCTTGTTGGGAGGTCTTCCACGAAAGGAAGTTGATCTTTTCTCTCTCTTCTTGGACGGCATCCATTTTGGGGGATTGACGGAAATGATCTTCGTGCTTGTGCGGCAGTGAGGTGTATGTACATATATATCTGTTGTTGTTGTTTTTTTTTTCTCGAAAATTCTTGTTGTGTTCTCACGCGGGATAGATATACTATAATGATTTTGCCTTCCTCCAGCTTTTCTGATCTCTATGTTTTCCTGCCGATGGGGTGATTTAGTGGTAGGTAGGTATGACTGTATCTATCTTTGCGACTACCCTTTCTTTGATTATAATCTAGGGAGTCTAGCGATCGAGGTGTCTAGCTGCCATGAGATTGAGTGGTGGTTTATGAGAATGATCCTTATCGAATATGTCTCAAATTTTGTTAAGACTCCCTACAAGTTATATCGAGCCTTGTGGTTGGAGTGCTAGCATGACTTAATATATCATATGCTTGCTGGATATCTTTTCAACTACTCCTCCCCGAGTGAATTCTGAGCCGTCGTATAGGAGAATAATTAGAGGAGGAGAGGATGACATTCCCCGAGGCCGAATGTGAATGTGGAAACCTTCCAACCAACTCGTAAATTTCACAACATGACTTCTTTCCAAGCACTGCTCCCTCTTAACAACCGCCCTACTTCCTCCATCCTTCAATTATTAAGAAGTAGAAGAAGGGATCAAAGATCCACCCCATCATGACCTCCAGCATCCAAAAAAGCCTCCCTCTCAATCCCAACAACCACACAATCAAACCCCAATCTCCGAACATCATCATCCTCCCCTCCCAAAGACTCCAACTCCCTCACCATCCCTTCCAACCGCTTCTCCAACCCCCACCTCACAAATTCCCCCTCCCCTATCCCCTTGAACCAAAATTCATAAATTTCTCCCGCAGCCACTCGAACAAACTCCTCGCGCGGAACATTCGTGTAGTCCAATACATCATATCGTAGATCCATTGTTACTTCTCTCTGATGCTGTGAGTCAAGACCCAGAGAGTCAAGACCCAGATTTTGTAAGAGAGATTCGAGAGGATGGCTCCGTGATGCTGTTGGGCGTTCTGCTGCCCGAGGAAATCGKTAAGGGAGTTGATGAGGGTTAGGATTTGGTTGCTGGGACTAGCTTGTATGATTTCGACGGATTGTAAGGTTGGATTCTGTTCAAACCAGGATTTAATTGGGGAGGGTGGTAGTGAGGGTGATTTCCTCGTCGGAGTCTTCGTCGTGGGCATCTAGGAGCCAATCGACTATGAGCTTTTCCACACCCTCAGGACATGGCTTATGGAGGTCTCCTGGTTGCACACTCCATGTATTGTTAGTCTTCGTCTTCTCTGCTTCTCCCACCCCAGCATTCCGTCTCCTCCCCAATAAACTCTCCCTCGCAACTCTCATTCTCACACCCCCATCATCCCTCCAATAATGCCCATAAGGATGTCCCCACGGCCCCAACAAACTCCCCCCTCCCAACCCTCTTCCTAAAAAGCAAAAAAACACTGAGGTTCCACCTCTAATTCCCCCGGCTTAGGATCAAAATCCTTCTGTTCACACTCCACAAGCACAAGCCCCGCTTCTCGTAAAACTCCCATCCATTCCGCAGGGGAGAAGGTACTATCTTTAATAACATCCCCCATGAAAGTATGATACAAAGATCTCCCTGTGGAATCTACAGGATATCCCTCCGCAACAGGGAAAATCCTGAAAATCCACCGTTCCAAAGAGAAGTTTCCCGTCACTTTTCAACCAATGCGCGATGCGAAATGCAAAGAGTACGATTCCATTGCGAAGCCTGGCTGAGAAGTGCAAGACTACAAACAATCGCATCGTAGGTCTTTTCTTTCGCGGTGAAATTTCTAGCGTCTACGTGGTGGAATTCTGCAGTAGGGACGTTTTTTCGCGCTTGTGCGATCATTTGGGGGGAGTAATCGATTCCGGTTACGTGGTGGTGGGCTTGAGCGAGGAGGAGGGCGTTGGGGATTCCGGAGGCGCAGCCGATGTCGAGGATTTTGCTATTGGGGGGTAGGAGGGAGATGAGGTTTTGGATGGAGGTTGTTTGGAGGGTGCTTTGGGAGTAGAGTTCTCCGTAGGATGAGTTGAGGTTGTTGAATAGATTCGGAGGGGCTTTCGGGGTTTGGGTTGTCATTTTCGTTCACTGTTCTTTGGATTGTTGTTGTTTCGGGGTGGGGGAATGAGGGGAAGAGGTGGTGCTTGAATCTTCTAATTGATGTATCATCGTTCCGGGAAAAAGGTAGTGGATTGAGTGGACCGGACTCCCCGTGTAGTTCTGTGGGTGGATGATGGTCCCTGGTTTCCATTGCGATCTTATAGTGTATGACCTCCTGATTAAGCAGCAAGGATGAAATTAACATTCCTCGCCTCTCCACATGTACTTCACTGCTTCACTATTATTCTACATTCTATTCCGATCCACACAAAGTATCACCGCTCATCGTAAGGCACTTCACTTTCTTGAAGAATCGCGATTGAACCTTCTCTCCACCAGGAACTGCGGTCCGTCGGTACCGCAGCGATCTCCAGTGGGGAGAAAGTTGTATGTAACACCGATCAGAGAGTCAAGCTACTAATAAAGATGCGCGCGATCGGTCTAGGAGTCTCTTGGTGTTGGCTCTTTGTTGATGTGTCGTGGTCACCCTTGTTCTTCACCTCACATCTCTTCGTACTTCGAGCACTACGATATTTCGGCGCTACACGATGAGTAAGAATATTTGCAAGCCAAGCCAATATCACCACGTGGATTCCCCCGATCATCCTACACGGGTGTGTTAGAGGATACCTCTAGATTCAAGGGTGCTTGTACTCTTACTTTCGACTACTAGCTACTCCCACCCCTATACCAATCACACCAATCATGCCTGTTCGATAGCACGCCGAGATGAATGAACATCCAATATCACGCGTCGTTGAACTAATATAGCTGTCTATAATAAAGCCCAAGTCAAAAGTCAGCTAATACTAGTTCCTATCTGCCTATAAGATACACACTATAAGAGCTCCTAAATTATAATGATCTTTATATATCTGAAGTGCTAACCACTAGAATCACATCAGCCGCACATCTCGAATTTCGATTACTCCAGCCTGATACGTACCGAGTGCCGTATCAAGACCCGCACACCCGTCTAGCAAACCGGTAGCAAAGAGTTCACTAAGCACCGGCCCATTGCTTCCACTTCCACTTCCGCTCGACTTGTTACAGCAAGCTCCCGTCCGCTGGTCACCGCAAGTCTCCCGCCTTTGTGTTGTTGCGGTAACATCTCCCTTGCTGACTTCAAGTGGCAAGGACACCGAGGTTGCGATGAGCGTGAAGCCCGCGGTGAGGATCTGCCAGGATGATTTCATGATTGTGATTCGACAGCAGGAGTGATCTGATGAGAACAAGCTATAACGCTTTCGAGAGTTGTGGGATGGGCTTCTAAGGGCTTATATATATGGTATTTCGATCGGCATTCGCTTTTTGTGGATTCGTCATGGGTGAAACCTGGACCAAAAGTACCATGTTGAAGACCCGAATTCACACGACTTAACATATAGTTTCAGCTCAAGATTGCAATTTATTTTTGAAGATCGACATGACATGAATGGACTTCACTTCCCGATTGGGGCAGTACAGGTGCATGACCTTTGACTTCTGGCTGGCGCGGAACTCTTGGTGGTACGCGGCAAGGAACGAAACGGTGCCGTTGTCGATAGACTACATCACAAGCCGTGATTTAATGAATTGAATTGCATTGAGTGTAAAGATCAGGATAATACATGGTGTCTCGTCGCGGGTGTCTCGTCTTGGAGATTCTTTTCGCTGCTTCATGAGGCTAAGAAAGACAGGTTTTACGAGGAATACCTCACCACATGTTCGGATGTAGACAGAACCTCTCTAGTGTAGTAGTGAGAGTCGGTTCTAGAATGTGTATTGAAAGACATCCCAAACTCATAGCAGGTAGGGCTCGAAAGGGCGAGGTGTTGACCAGCAGCTTACGATCCGTGTCTTCCTCGTCGCCATTTGAGAAGTTGAAATTGAAAATAGGGGGAGAAATAAACTGGTATGGGAGGTCCCTTGTTGGGGGGGATCGAAGCGTGGCCAGATCTTACGGGAATGACATCCGAACTGAAAGGAGGAGACAAAGCAACGAAATCGTCCTTTACCACAACACCAACCGAATTTCTGAGCTGCCAAGTGGGGACCTACTGTGATCACAGATTCGACTTCACATCATTGATGATGGTCGATGTCTCGAGGGTTTCTCTCGTAGCGTAGATGTCACTTTCCATGATCACACGTAACTAGGACAATAGTCAGCGTACTTCGGGGACCCATGTGAATATTGTATCGATCGCCTGGGGAAGCGAGCTTCAAGAGCGCAGACTAACACAGCCCCATCGTTAACGGAGCAAAAGTTCCAATCAACACAAGTGTCGGGGACTAGTCCTAATGGCTAACATATTCCGAAACTCTACCGATTTCTTGGCGCTCACGTAGTGAATACCTTATACATTAGACTTCTGTTATAAAAGTTGGCTAAACGATCGGGGCTGCTAGTCAGTACCGCATCAGACTTCCTGTTGAGGAATTTCGAGCTTGCTATTCTAAGAGCAATGTCAGACTCCAAGTAGGAGCCTTGGTATGAATTTACAATGGCCCGAGATCTAGGCCTAGAACACTTCATCTCTAGCGCCTGCATGGTATAACGTCGTCGTAACGGAATACGAAATACAAGGTACTCAAGGCTAGCATACGTACATAGAACCTCAGCCCATGTACCTTACGTAGCTATAGCAGCCGCAGTCCCCCCCATTAATCGAGTATAAAGGCTTCCTCCCAACTTCCCTCCTAAAAGGGTTCATAACAGCAGTACTCGCATCACCCAAACGAAAACTCCCAACCCACAAACCCCAAAGTCCAAAYAGACATCAACATGCACATCACCTCCATCCTCGCCCTCGCGCTCAGCGCCACTGCAGCTTCCGCCACCACCTGGTGGACGCCCGCCAACCTCCAATGCCCAGACGCAGGAACCATTACTCGGGCCGAACTCATCGCCGGAATCACTGGTCCCGTGGGAGAGCTACGTGAGACGTCAGCAAACAATCTCGCCACGAAATACTGTGGAGGGACACGATTCAGGGGTATTCCCTTGTATTTCGTAAGTTTTCTTGTGCTTTGTACATTGGCAAATTGGTCACTTGTACTTTTACAGCATTGTTTTTTTGACTGACGTTCTTTGTGCGTGATCTCCAGGTTACTGTCAAGGGTGCTAACCTTTCGTACGCGTATCGTAAGAGCACTGATGAGTATTGGTACTGCAGTGCTACCAACGGCCGGCACCCGTCGGGCTGGCCGAACGTCTGCGCGGATAGCGGTACTTTGGTTTCTTCGTGAAGTGGAGATGATCTGGATAGGGAAATGGAAGATTTGATGATTTACAGATGAAAGCCATGGTGTTGTACTCCAGGCGTGCAAATTGGCGTCATGGGGGGAAAGAGTTGATACTTGGCAGTACATGGAGATATTTCGATCGATATTTTCCGTCGCCCCATCTATGAATTTTTTGACAGATATTCACACTTGTAAAGGTGACTTGCAGCTATCTATCAGTATCAAGATCAAGATGTTTGATGAGGTGGTTGTGGTTGAGACGATTTTTAGTGTTTGATGGTCGTTTTGTTTATTTCGCGAATCAGGAGGTATTCTTACATCGTCTTCATAAGCCTCTAAGCACATCTCATGATCCCTCCCATCGCAGATGCTCCGCGTATGTTTGAACACGTCATCGGTATCTTTGCCTTCACTCTTGTCTGCCAGTTTCTCCTATGGCGGCGGAGTCTTCATTGAGACGTCGAGGGCAGCCAACATTGCTCTTGCACTCGGGCAACATCTTCTTGATTCTCTAATTGAACCGCGGCTCCATTCAAAAACCTCATCCCAAGAAATTCGGTATTCTACGGAATTGCTGTCATGACCCTCCAGCCATAGCACGCTTCACAGCTTTGGAAGGTCTCGATCGTAACACAGGCACGGTGGAGCGCTATCGATGTCCCAATCTTGCATCTTCGATGCTCTTACCAGCCATATTCTCGCAATGCATAGCATCAAATGCGGGCGAGAAATTCGTCCCATCGCTCGTTGGGGGGTGCAGCCGCATTAGTCTATTAATTCCTTTCCTTTACACACTCCGTGCTCGATATTAAATTTTTCATAGTTGATCGTAAAGCCTTTGCTACCGAGAAGTTCCTACAGAAACCTTCGTCGATCCAAATCAGTCAGACAAGCCGTGATCTTGAGACGAAAGTCATTCACGGAAATTGGAAATTGGTTCTCTCCGCCGCAGTTCTGCAACCAGAAGTTGTGATATAGCAGAGGGGGTTCTAGTAGCAGTCAACAATCTAGCAACGTCGCCGCCCAGTACAGTGGACCCAATTTCCACATTACTGCCCCGTCAATGATCATCTTGAGGCTTCGCAACCTCAGCCATCACCTGATGAGGGCTAGGTCATACGATCAAAACAAGCAGGCATGAATTTCAAGCAGACTCGCTGGTCAAGAAGGGTGTCTTTACTTCAGCACATCACCTTTGATCCAGGACGGCCATTAAAAGTTCACAATGAACGTCAGCGTCTTTCCTCTGATAATTCAAGAGTTATGAAAAGATGCGAAGCCATGTATTATACGGCATCAGCCATCTTGAGGCTTCGAGCATCGATGATAATAATCACCGATCAAACACTAAACATTCTGATCCACTCCGACGACGTGGCGAGCCTCCTGAAGCTCTACATCGTGTATCTCACGCTTTTCCCTTCCACACCCCCTGCAAATACTCCTCCGCCCCAGTGAAGGTATATTCTGGCAGCGCCTGATTCCACTCATCTCCGACCGACCAAGCCCCCGAAGCGATCGACCTGAGATATTCCCCCAAAACGTACCTCGAGCCAGCTTCTCTCTCTGCTCGACTGGCACAGCCTCATGTTCTACCAAAGGTACCCACGAAGTCTTCAACTCCCCGCGAACAACATCTTCCAGACGGAGCCGCTCGACCTGAAAAGGCCCTACTCGGATTTTTCCCCCGTCAGCAAAAGTTCACATCATCGAAAGTTGGGAAGTCACTCACCACGAATCTTCTCCGCTAGAGCGAGAAACTGTCCCACGGTCGTCTGTGACCCCTGAATCCCGCCTTTACGTGGCCACTTCCCTTTGTACTCCAGAGCAAGGGCGACGACTTTCGCCGTATCCTCCACCGTAGTAAGAGTCAGAGGTGCGGCTTCGGAACCTTCCAGCACGATCGCTCGGCGATTCTCAAAATCTGCGAACATTTTAAATGTCCAGAAGTGTTTTGCAGTGCGGTGCGGGGCGGCGAAGTAGTTTGTGAAAAAAGCGGGTTGGAAGAGTGAGTACTCTATGATTTCTTTTTCGGCGTTGATTTCCTCGAGTATTTTACGCGTGGAATCTTTGTAGGCGTAATGTGCGATACCGCTGTCAGACCCTCTATATGGTTCCATCCGTTAGCTAACATGGTTCAGTCCATTCGGGATTGACATGTAGGGGATTCCTCACGAAGCCCATTCCGAGGGAGCAAACCTCCGAACACCTGCTTCGATTGCTGCGTGTAAGAGCTGTGTGTGCAAATTTCACGGCAGCTTCCTGATCGAGCGGTGCAGTAAATGAGAGAAGCGTGTCGATGCCCGTGAGAGCTTCCACCAGCGAGGCATGACTGGTATAGTCGACTTTTTTCCATGCTACATTATTCTTCCTGTCGCCATCGGATGCGGTATCCTAAGATCTCATCAGTTTCATCAGTCATTGTTGAGGAGAATGGATCGATTGGAAGTTCTACTTTGCGACTGAGTATGACGATTTGGTAGACTCCACGATCGAGGATGGCGTCGATGACTTCCTGGGCAATGTCTGGTTCTGTCAGCAAGAGGCACGCTGGATGAACAATGAGTTTATTTGTAAACATACTACCCGAGCCTCCAGCAATGGCGACTACTTTTGACATGGTGAGCGTGTTGTGCTGATGATCCTTGGCAGTGCTTTGCTGATGTGCCAACTAGTATTTGCCTCGTTCTGTGGGTAGACAACGATTCGGCCTGGGGCYAACTGTCCTTTTTTAAAACCCTAGGTACCTACGACCGTAGATGGGTAATGGGAGTACATTATTAATAGGAAGTTCTTGTAAGCAGGATGTTGTGAATTATGCCAACTCCTGATGGCATAAAATATGCATAACTTTTGCATAAACCGTCGAACCACGCGCATAAAACGAGACGCTCTTCTTCTTTTTTTCCCTCTAAACTCGATGATACTGATTTATGGGGAGAGGAGGGTACTTTTACTGTGACTATTCTAAAAGACGTTTTCTGTCTGGTGTTTTTTGTTTTGCTGAAAAAGGAGCGCCCAAGGCTCGGCGTCCAGCCCCTTATTTTGTGCTTTTCTTATTCTCAAATAGTGCCAAGTGCATAAGGGAGTCCTGTCCAATGGCCTCGGCAGCAGAAATGTTTCCGGGTATGAGTGTTTTCAGCGATTGAGAAACTTTCGATGCTACCTTCTACCAGGATACGGCTATTCAAACGAGCAACGGTGAAAGTTTGCGCTGCGGGATCCGAGAGTGCGCGGGTCGAAGGAGAACAAAATCCGAATCGAGTGCTACACTCGTAGCTAATCAACCATACCTGCAACTCTCAAAACCACGGTGAGACACGGTATCTACGACCGCTTCGATTGTTCTTCGAGTCGATCTTCCAGATGGTCAGTCACTCACGAACAGGACTGTAAAGGATGGTTGGGATGCTGGTCTAAGACACAATGTGCTATCAACACAGTTTCTCGGACCCTCTTCATGTCCGTCAATGAAGACATCTAGTCAGATCCAACAGGAGAACGGAACAAGCCTAACAATTTGGAGAAGGAGGCCCACGCTGGATGATTGCAAGCATCGCCCAAAAGCTCGTGTTCCCGTGTGTTGTACCTTGACCGAAGAGGCTTTAGACATGACTTATATATTGTCACATGTCACGATTCGCCCTGCATTGTATAGAGAATTGTGACAGAATGAATTCAATTCTTCCTTCCTATCTACCCCAAAGGCTATATACTCATTCATGATCCTCGTATTCGTTCATTTCCATAGAGACAGAGTTCGTTTCCCACCGGGCCGTAACAAAAGTCGCACAAAGAAATGAACTTTTCTTTCTCCATTTTACCCCTTTAGTGTTCCATTCAATCCGCCCCGTCCAACCATCGCACTCTGACTCTGTATCATGCTTACCATCAGATGGAAGACCCTTAACAGATCTCTCCCTCAGATCACTCCTCAGATAAGCCCAACAGGGAAGTTAACAAGTCCTCCCCAACCAGTCAACAATCCCCCAAGGATCCCCTCACCAAGACCCAAAGCCTTGACCAAATCCACGAGCTCAGCAAGAGAAATATCAATATTGTTACCGTTCAAGAGAGCAATGTTCAAAAGCTGCGCGCAGTCCAGGATAGAGATTCCCACATTCGTGCACTTGTTCAGGAATTGCTGACCGTTGTCGACACTGCCTGGGCCGGGGGGAGTCAATCCACCGATGATGATGGTGTTGCCGTTGAGGGCTGCGATGTTGGCGAGTTGGGTGCAGTCTGCGATGGAGATGCCGAGGTTGAGACACTTGTTGAGGAAGTTTTGGCCGTTGCTGGGGGTTGTTCCGGATGGGGTGGGGGAGGTGGTTGTTTTGAATGTTGTGGTGGTGTACTTGATTGGAGTGGTGGTGGTAGAGGACTTGATCGGGGTGGTTGTGGTGGTTACTTTGATCGGAGTGGTGGTGGTTTCTTTGATCGGAGTGGTGGTGGTGTACTTGACTGAAGTGGTAGTCGTGTACTTCACAGGGGTGGTTGTTGTCTCGGTGGCAGCAACGCTGTAGAAGTAGAAAGCCATGGAGGACAGAACGATGTTGTAGAACTGCATGATTGCGGTGATTGGAGCTTCGAAATTGAAGAATTGAAGTTGATCGTGTGGGAAGGAAGTAGATGATGCTGTGTTGGAAGGAGGTGATGATGTGTTTGGATGAAGATGTTAGAGTGGGAAAAGACACTTCTTATATATCTCCTCTGAGCCCCATTCTCGCATGTCAGTCCGCTTCGCTTCCACCTCGATGCCGTCGTGGAATGAGAATTACTAGGTAGCCTATCAATTACGCCCAGCACGTCAGACGAGAAGGTGGCGGTCCTCTCACCGTCGCTGCCCAGTGCTATACACTTCGAGGCGTTTTTATGCGGTGGATACTTTGTGCCTACTCTTCTAGCCCCGGCGCTAATACAGCGAATGGAGATATATTCAAGATATAGCAGAGCAGTATTGAAATCTACATCCATCATGTTCAAACTTGGGGAAATTCCACACGATCAACGACTACACTCCCAGTCCAACTCATAGCAGTCCAATAACTCTCTAGCATCTGACACATTCATCTCGTCCCATCTTACAATGATGTCTCTAGATAGTTCCCCACGTGTGGCGCTCGTGGCAAGAAGTTCCAACGGTATGCGTGGCGCCCGCGGCAAGCCGTCCGTCCTCCACGTGGGACCCACTTTTTTTCACGTGGCCCATGGGGAGGTCAACGTTCAACTCCATTAGGGATCTGTGATGTTATTATGATTCCATAACAATTGTGTAGCGAGGAATCCTGCATAGTTTCAACATTATACGAGAGTTCTTTCAGAATTGTCCGAAGACAACCAGGGCTAGACTCCTACCCCCTTTTTGACTATCCTCGCTTACTTAAATAGCATCACTACTTTGAAATCACATAGCCCGACACACATTTGGTCGCCACTCCCATTTGCGTATGACCCAGAGTTGCATTCCCCTTAAGAAAAAGATTCCATACGAAACCTGGTATCGCCCACGCTAACATGCGTAGTCTCCCAGACCGCTCATCACGCCAAGGGCGCTCTCCGAACCACTGAACAGAGCTTGCTCTTAGCGAAATCTAGCCAACGCCCTCGTCAGGTCCGAAGGGATCGCCGCCGGCTACCAAGCTACGGTAGTATCATCGCTAATTCATGCTGGAGATCTATATCCATACATTCATAAGGTTCGGGAGGACCGTAGCCGTGTACCAAATTCTCGTTTCTAACTCCATTTGGAAAACTTTCCAAGAGCCTACATTTTTTGCTTGGCTGCCTACGTCTCACGGGGAAATGGCTCCATGATTCTCGCACTGATTATGCTTTTTCTGACTTGCGGCTTGGGCATTTTGTCCCCTAAGAGTACGTCGTCTTGGTCCACTTCAGCCTTGGGCTCTTAGTAAGCATCTTTCAGCCTCGTAAACTCGCCACCAGAATGCCAAAGTATTGCGGGTCATGAAAGTTGTCAGTAGCATGGGGAGTTTCTCTTTATTGCCAAAAGATGCGATTACGGAGGCATCACAGTGGCCAAAGTCTCACACCAACATCTGCCTTCTACTTGGATCGATATGTTCACCTTCCCGCGAGAGGTCTCTATGCATATCATCGTCAATCATCTCAGTCATCGTTGGAGAAAACCAAAATCTACACAACCCTCCCTCCGCAGGATTTCGTTTCGAAGTTCTACACCGCTAGGCTCCATCTCCCCCGAATGCACCTCTCACATCAAGCCATGAAAGTTTCTTTCTTTCATCCCACTCAATCCCAACTATCGTCCGGGACCAATTCCACCATCGCTCAGTGTTGGATGGAACAGTCTAAAAGGTCGTAGTGTGGGGGAGATCAATGTCCACCATGACATCTCCAAAGCAGCCAAGAGTCGTTCCGGTCGAGGAGCTCGCTAGTTACTTCATGTGAGAAGTATATCGTGACTAATACCCTCCATTCCCATGAGAGCCGCCTCGGGGAGAGTTGGGAGGGAAATACCGATGGAGTTTCATCGTGTCCGGGGAAAGTTCCTCCCGCAAGGCTGGTTCATAGGKAGGAGGTGCGACAAAGGCAAGGGCGAGAGCACTCATCTGCAGCACCAATGTCCGCAGCTCATCTTCCACTGCGAGAATGGCTCTTGGCTCGACTTTTCTTCATTTCCTCCTCGGGTATCTGGGCATTACGGTGATAGTGTAGCGTGGATTCTGACGGCTCCCTTGTCGACGTGCCGGTCTCGTATCCGTGCGTGGCCAAGGTACACGCGTGGCGCAATGAGCTGATTTCAGAGGCTCTTTGGCCGTTTTTTTTGTCCCACTCAAGGAAATTTGGCCCGGGCTGTGTGCCGCTGAGGTGATGATTAAGCCATGTGGTGAAGATTTCGCGCGGAGCAGAGGCATAGTACTGCTGCTCGTAGTTTTTGGACGCAATTTTCCGAGTAAAGGAAGAATTGCCTTTTCTCCCCAATCTTTCGACGGCTGGTCTGTCCACATCATCGCACTCGTCGTCACACTGAACGTGAGTTGGTAGAGTTAGAGCTTGAATATCCGCTGTAAGGATTGCGATTGCTCGGGCGTGCTTCTGTCGTAGGTCAGCAACGCCGAGGGTGAAGTTTGTGTCGAAGTCGTAGTTGTTGCATAATTAATTCCATACGACGATGGTCGATGCCGATGAAATGACGCAGAGCATCGTTGAAGATCTTTTTCACACCGCATTGCTCGGGCAAGGGTGAGATGGAAGAGGTATTCATTCCGTGCATCTGCCCCAATTCCAGGCATGTGGAGAAGGAGAGCTCGCAGCTTGTGTGCGATGGTTGGCAACAAGTCATACAGGGCTGCGTATGTGACGATTTCGGCAAAGTCGGTGAATCGTATCTCGTTCGTTGGTGAAGATTTCGACGCCGTAGAGAAGCTTGAACATCATCAGCTCTACAGCAGCCTGGCTTTGTGGAAGCATCTTGATTTCCGGATGATTCTCTTTGGGAATGTCAAATTCGCAACGGCGTGCGGCGAGTCCGGCGCCCATCCGTGTACTACTTATACTTTGCGGGCATGTGTTACTCACTTCCACGAAGAGGGGTCCAGCTGGTGGCTGAGAGAATGTCAGTAGAATGTCGAAAGAGAAGTGAGTACACGTATTCCTAGCACTCACAGTCTCCTCGAGCAGCAGGACCTTTTCGGTTGGATTTAATATTAGATAGTAAGTCGTCGACCTGTGTACCTTGTTAATGCTCGGGTGTGTGAAAGTCTTGTGCGTATGCCTTACCTTAACCAAGACCAGTTCCACGTTTTCATTCATTCATTCAATGCCAGATCCCGCGTTCGAAAGTCAGCTCTCCTCGCTCTTTAGAATCGCCTCGTGTTTCAATATAGGAACATATTAACCACCAGCCAAAATGACTTGACCTCGCTCCTACACCAAAAATGTCGGGCAAAAATGAACAGCGAAAGAGGATGGAGCAGTGCATAGAGAAAAGGCAGCGTGCGCAAGAAAGCGAAGACGGAGTAGATCAGAAGGAAAAAAAAGCAAAAGAAAAAGCAAAAAGAAAAAGAAGCGCATCTCCCAATACCAATCCCACGAACTTCGAGATGCTGGAATTTTACACTTACCCCAATCCCTAGCCCATTTCATACTATCCACCTCGCATAAACGCTAGACATACCAAAGACCACAAGATAAAACTCCACCTATAGCGATCCACGATCCACGATTCATGATTCACAAACCCATACAACCCAATATCATACCATAACAATACACATCCTTCCTCTAACCCCTCCCCAACCAACTCTCTACGCAACCTGCACCTTCATCCCATCCACAATGCCCTCCCCACCACCAACAACTTTAGTAGCCTCGGCACTCTCCCCCTCCTTAACCGTAGCGGTAACCACCACAGTCGATTGAACTCCTTCTCCCTCCTCCTCAACCCTAACCTTACCACTAGTAGGAATTCTCGCCACCTTGCCCCTCTCCCAACCCGTCTTGAATAACTTTCCCATTTCGAATTTCGGAAAGGGATGAGCTTCCGTATTGAAGACCACGTCCTCCAAAGGCAAAATTCCTTTGTCGGAGAAGAGCAGGAAGAAGTATTTCAAAGTTTCGGCCTGCACACACATACATGGTTAGAAAAATGCACATCAAGAAAGGTAAGATCAAGACAACTCACCAGCCAAAAACTCTCCATATTATCCCTCAACACCACCTTCCCATCCACAATCTTCTCCACATTCGCCACACTACTGAATCCCTCCCCGTCATCCACCGCCGTCCACTTGACAAAACTTGTAAACATCTCCCACCCGGCTTGACGATAGACCTCGTCGCCCGTAATCCTCCACATGTAAAACAAACTCTCCACCGTCTCCGGTCTCTGAAGATTATGCACATCTCCACTTTTAATGACATAATCTTCCTTGCCGACCACCTCCTTCACCTTGCACGCTTTATCCAGACACTTTTCAAACCCGGGTGGACTGGCCGGTCGGGTGTCCTCGGTCAAATCCTTGTACATGAGTGGAGGTTCGTGGAGTTGGAAATGGGCAATCTCGGGCGCCAGACCGGTTTCGGTGACAAAGTACATTCCCATGCACGTCTTGGTCAATTCGGCCGCGAGACGCATATCTTCTTCCTGAGCTGGTCCCCAGCCGGGAATCTTCTTCCTGRCGTCTTGCAGACTCATTCCGTTGGTCGTGGCCAGAGCAATGGTTCCCGGCATGAAGCATACCAGATGGTCCATTTTGGGGGACAGAGCGCCTCCCAGTCCCGAAGGCCTTTCCGCTAGAACGGTGAAGTTGGACGGGTATGAGTAGGTGAGGAGATTCTTCTTCACGCCTGACAGGGATTCATTCCATAGGGATTGATAGATGGGTTCTTGTTGTTTGGTTTGTAGGTATTGCTTGATGAGATATTCATAGTAAGAATCTCCGCGACTTCCCAGGCGGATGTTGTTTCCTCGAAAGGTGCCCTTGTCGGGATTGATGAAGATGGGGACGAGACCGTCTTCCGCGTGGTTGGAGTCGATGGTTTGCATGACGTGTTCGGCGTGTTGCCAGTAATGCAATTCCCCCGTCAACTTGGCGAGATATTTCATTTCCAGTTGGAGGGTTGTTGCTTCGGCGGTCGAGGAAGCACCGCCATCGGCGTGCGAGGGGATTCCCTTGGAGGTGTGGAGGTTGACACTTGCGAGAGGAACACCTGACGCGGTATCGTAGGCTCCCAACAAACGGTCGGCCAGATCCACCGCCTTTTCAATGTACATGTCATCGCTGAGTCCATCCTCCACGGGTGCATATTGTTCCGGGAAGGCGACGCTGAGATAGTGAGCGGATAACAGACCTCCCAGCATGCGGATGGTCGTCTCAAAAGTGTTGACGTCGTGGTCGATGTCGTAGGTCAGATTGGAGTGGATCCATTGGCGAGCATGGGTGAGTTCGGTGCTGAGGTTCATCAACATCATCGTGTCCAAGGCATCCACAATAATCCATCCCATCCCCCCGGGAACCATATGTTTCCCCGTATGGCTGACGGGATGGTATTCGTCATATCCCCACCCATATTTCTCATACCCGGCAAAGGAAATCTTGAACACATCTTTGACCTTTTCCGCTCTGGATGCCCAATCCGCCCCTTCACTTCCCTTCCCAAACAGATTCCATGTTGCGGTGGGTGATGAGGATGAGGATGACGATGTGCTCTTGGTATTTCCCCCACCACTTGATATCCAGCTCAAAGGCGACAAGATGCCAAACCACCAACTCAACACCGCCATCCCCCCCAAAACCCCCGCAAACGTCCTTTTCCTGCGCATCCACCTCGCTCCCGTCTTTCCTCCCGCATAACTGTAGGGTTTGTCTTTGTACATGGGCAATTGCTGGCTCCGATCCGAGGTAAACATATTGCTGACCTTCTCGCCGATTCCCGCGTGGTCGCTATCGTGGGCGTTAAAGCGAGATGATGATGATGATCGATCGTGCAGTTCTGCGCCGGGCAGTCCATATGAATGGTTGTGATTGGTCGGGTTCATCGTGCTTGCCGATGCATGGGTTGGTTGCTGCTGGTGTTGAAGGAAGGAGCTGCTACCTGTTCCTGCGATTCCAGCGGGACGGAAGAGGGAAGCGGCGTTGGCGGCGGGGGACTTGCGGCGGATGTTGAAGGGGTCGTGGTTCATATCATGCAAGGCGAGGCATTAAAAGAGCAGCAGAAGGGAAGGAAAAGTGCCGTTGTTTCTGAATGTTTCTGACAATTCCCCAACTTACTTACCTCTGGGCATATTTACAGTTGTCCCCTGGATGCACACGTTGCGCCTAGCTCCGCCTAGCTCCATCTCCACCCGGACTCGGCTCCGTCGAACCTTCCATTTGCACCGCCACGACCCCTCCGCCACGTAAACCCGCCGCGTCCGACCCGACTTCACATCTGATCATCGGCTTCGGCAGGTTTCCGGTTCATCCCAAGATAACTCACAGGAGAAAGATTAATTCAACTTCCCCTCTCCTTCATCCACCTTCCCCATCAAATCCCATCGTCAACATCACCAATCAATCCAACCAATACCCGCCAAAATGCCCACCCCACTCGACCGAGCCCTCAACTCAAAGGCACGTCCCCTCCACGCCCATCAAAGAAAAAAAAAAAAGTCTCCGAATCATTCATTGCATCGCTAACAGGATGTAGAACATGGTCCTGGGTTTCGCGGCCCTGATCTCAGGCGTCGCCATGTATTCAATCTGGGGTCAAGACATGTTTCCCCGCGAACAGGACCCCGCAGGTGAACCAGAGACATGGACGGCGGATCAGCAGAGGAAGTTCTTGGAGAGTGTGCGTTTTTGTCATTCTCCTGGATTTTGACATGTTCACTGACGAGAGAATCGCAGAGAGGTCTGGCGACGGGCCCAACTACGACGAGTGCCGAGTTGATTGCTATGGTGAGGGCGAATTTGAATGCGCCGAGGGTTTGAGAGCATCCCTTTTCTTGTGTCGAGGACTTTTGTGTGATTTCGGGACTGCGTGGAGCGTGGCTTGTATTAATACGAAAATCGAGGAGCATTATCTTTCGGGGGAAATCGGTCAAGGTTCCACATACTTTCAACACCTTCTGCTTCGACAACCTTTTCAGTATGAGCCGTCTTCTTCTACGACAAAGATTCAGCATTGGGACGGGAATCAGGAAACCATGGCCGAATATTCATGGCAGAACTTTTGGAACGGGAAACTACAGAAATTGCAAACTCATCGGTCCATACTTCACATTTGCCGTGTGACAGCTTTCAAGACGAAAAATGACGACGGAAGTTCTTCCACATGAGTAACATCACTACATTAACCGCGCTCATCCAACTTCTCCTACTAGCATCTGCCCGAATCCTAGTACAAACGGTCGCTAAGGGCATATGCAAGTTACTACAAACACAATTAACGGTACTAGAGGCCCTAACATAACTCCATCCTCTAAGCGGCGCCGCACGCTTCTCGTACTACCTCTAGCGTTACGTGGAAAGCTCTTCCCCCAACTTAAGCTGCTAGTCGAGGTATTAGCTCATCGTATAAGTGTAAATAGAAGCGTTCTTACTAACACTACATGTACTTTATACTAACCACCATGTCACGTGTTCTTGACACCCCACAAATTCAGCTAGAATTACATTGCTCCCGCCCGTGCTCTCGATTACAACCATACCTTCAAATGGAGATCCCCGGCACCGACAGACGAGACGATAAGGAGGAACCAATTGACAACCTCACGCTTGAGCAGCAGCTTTTCGGTGCCGCTCCACGAATGGTGAACGTTCCAGAAGGCGCGATTGATCTGTTTCCCCAAAAGATCGGTCCAAGAATACTCCATCTGCCCGACACCAAGCGAATTCTTAAAGCAGGTCCGACAGTAAAAATGTCAGAAGCGGAGGCTATGAGGCTGATCGCGTGCGAAACGAGCATACCTGTTCCCAAGGTACACGACTCTTACACCATAGATGGCGTTGGCTACATTCTGATGGACCACGTCGAAGGCAAGGTATTAGGTGATTGCTGGGGCACCATGACCACGGAGCGCCAGGATGCCGTAGTCTCGCAGCTTAGAAGTTACATGACAGAATTACGCTCCCTATCCGGAAGTTTCTACGGCGCACTCTGGAACCAGCCGTGCGAAGACGTTTTCTTCTCGCATTTTCCATTCCAAAAGGACGCTGTTTCCTATGGCCCTTATGCATCCCGCGCGGAGTATAATCAGGGATTACTCGATGCGCTTGCGAATTCCTCTCCGCACGGCATACTCGACGAAGATAATGCAGATCTTGCTACGAGATTGTTGAAGAGGACTGACGAGACCATTTGGTTCTCTCATGGAGATCTTCACCAGAGGAATATCATTATCGATAGCCATGATCGCGTCGCCGCAATCATAGATTGGGAGTGCTCGGGATTTAGTATTCCCGGTCGAGACTACTATGAAGCACGGGCACGCGCGCGGGCTCGGGATCCACGATGGTCGGATACATTGGATGAAGTGTTCACCAAGGAGGCGAAGCCAGATTTTGGACTGCTGAAGGAGCTTGATCAGGCATTGATACGATACACATGTATATGATGACGACAAAGCTCCTTCTGGACCATGCAGGCTCGATGGAACGTTTCTGTCATGCAGTTTGAGTCCACCGCTGACCTGAACAATTAGAACACTATTTCGGTCGAGGGCATGGCCGACCAGCATTGGATTCGTCCATCAGAGCATTCTCCAGCTGCTTTTGCTCGTCTTTTAAACTTTCTTCGAATGCGAGATCTTTCTTCGTTGGTCGGAACTCAGACTCCTCAAAGTCGATGAATCTAGGTCCATTTGGCCCGATGATAATATTCCATCTGTTGAGGTCTCCATGACGTGCAGTCTTGTGTAGTTCTGCAAGTTTCTCGCGGCAAACATCAAGATCTGAGCTGCTAGCACAGGTACCCTCTACCATTTCCAATAAAATGCCGATGATACGATCCGGTGTTCCTTCATAGACAAGCGCAACCATAGTCGGTGCAACATCTCTACTCCGAAGTGCATGGTATATGCGTGCTTCCTTAGCCATCCACTCCACCTCAAACTGGAATCGTGCAATCTTCAAAATCATGGGCGTTGTTCCATCAAGACAGGAGACTTTCCAGACTCTAGACTTCCACCTCTCGATACGATCTAGCTCTAAAAAGTTCCTTTTCTCGTAGCAGGAGATGTCGATATCCCCAAGATCAAGCCTATGAGGCTGTTTTCCGTCGATTTTGTATTCGATATTTTCACCGCGTCCATCAATAGTCAAGGTTGTCCAACGCTGAGACCATGGGGTATGCGTAGCAAGCTCCTTAATAACATATGGACCAAAAGTCCGTTGAGTCTCATTGGGTATCATCGTGGGTGGCATGACACGGACGTAGACGATGTTATTACTGCGCTGTACTCGGTATAGAATATCGTCGTCGCCGATGTCGATGTCTAGGACTTTATCGTAGGAAGTGTCCATTTTGGATGGTGCTGAATTCTTTAAATAGCTGGAAATTCTCGGATGGAGGGGACTTGGCTTGAGATTAATTAAGAAGTTGAAGTGGTGTGTGACGGAGGAGTATATTACACGAGCAGCGAGCAAGTCAGCTATTAATGTAGCTCGAAGTGGATCTCTCTTTGCTCAGTGCTGGCACACACAACTGCTTAAGAAATAAGCGGGGTCGAATCGGTGAGCTTTACCTAGAGCATGCACTGCACCTTGAGGTATTCACAGCCCCATTCCCTATAGAAGCACGCTTGGAGAATTTAATATACGATACGTTTACACATAATTATAACAACTTATCTCCCTCGAACAACTGCATTTCTTAACAATCTAGAACGACCCTAGAAATAGTTTCATTAGTAGCGTAATAAGGAAGATAAAACGTATAGCTATTTCAGGTATTATAAACATAACTAAGATTGTTAGTAACGTAGCTGTTTCTTTCCTCGCTAGAATCTAGTAGAAATTCTTCTACTTTCCTATTAGATGTAAATTGTACTATATTATAGCGTTCCTATAAACTTTCTAGGCCGCTAGGCGGATGTTAAGAATAGGGGCTAGCGTGTAGCATCATATATATAGGGGGCGACATCTGGTCGTTACGATGGTTTTGGGCGTTTTACGRGCTGAATAGTGGGTAGAAATGAGCCATAAGTAAACATCATTTGCTAGCACCGTTAGAGGTAGTATACAACAACAAGACTCGGGCAGTGATTTGCAAAAGATCTATTCCAAGACAACAAAGTTTTCAACGGCTGGGTGAGACTTAAAGATCTTCCGCCAATTCCTTCTCTACATTTTCGTTGCAACGTCACCCCTTGTTGCCTCTAGAGGCACCTGAACGCCATTCTCCTTCACCCACTCCACAATCTTTTCAAAATTCTTACATTTATGCGAAGCCGCAAAGTCCTCCTTTGCCGTCCCATCAACATGCGCACGTCGATACCAGAGATACGGCGTTACATCCGCATTGCAAGTCAAAGCCTGACGGAGCGTCTCGATGCAGTGGTCTGCGTGTTTGGAAGCCACGGCAGGGGAGTTGTGTCTAAGGAGCGAGGGTACCAGATTCGTGGGATATCGATCTTTCCAGGCGACTTGTCGGAGGATATTGAGGCAATGTAGGTGGTGGAAAACTTCGATGCCGGCGATGTATTTGTCGCTGTGTGGTGGGTTGGCTCGGAGGAAGTCTTGGACTATGCTGCGATTTAAGGTGGGGATTCTTTCGGAGGGGATCAGGACGGCTGGCACTTTGAAGGGTCAGATACATTTGAGTCGCTTTGGAGATGGTGGGAATGATGATACGCACTATTCTCTAACCTGTGCCATCGATGCTCCAAAGCCAGAGAAGGGATGTCTGAGATGTACTTGGAATGGGTTGTTGCAGAACTGTCAACCCAGTCTCGATACTCATATTCGACGGCTCCAAGAACTGGAACTTTGGTTTCAAGTCTACGTTAGTGAATGCTTTGGATTTTAAGTTTCTCTGTCTGAAAGTACTCACACCATACGCTCGTCTGAGCTGCACATTCTTTGTCGGAGGCGGACCGGGTCTTGCATTGTTGTCCAGCGATAAGCATCATAATCATGCCACTCACGAATATGAGTACACTCAGAACTCGTGCAGCCCATTCGAGCCATCCTGACCACTGCCCATGTCTTGCCGATGTTTGAGAAGCCTCAAAGACACTCATGGGATCCGATGAGGAGGAATCACTCTGCTCATGATTGAGTTTTGAGTATTCGTCGTGAAACTTGTTCCATCGGAGGCTCGAAAACTTCATGGTGGTTGAGAGAGAGGATGTAGGTAAAACTTCAGAGGTTCTCATCTGTTGGGAGGGACAAATTAATGAACTCCCTTTTTTCCTGCAAGCATGATAGCAAAACTGCTGACATGTTGCATGTAACGTCGCTATATGTAGTACCTGAACGACGGCACGTCCAAAACGGTGTGAAGCAAAATGCAATGCACGCTATCGACTGTCCACCGCCGATTGATCAGAGGAAGACATGCTTTTCGACTATCTCGCATGACCGGTGTGGCCGACATAGTTGTGGCACACTCTGGAGTCTACACACCCCCGGCATGACCGGTCAAGACGTCGTACGGGTATAGGTCGTACTGTAGCGTAGACTTGGGGTCAGCAACTGTTTCACCACTGTACGCAGAAATCTCGTACGATTTCAAGTCGTCCATCAGTCGTTCCGAGACACCGAGATGACTTGAGTATCGCCATTGATTCAGAAGTTCAAACAGCGGAGTTTGGAGCATTTCATAACTGGGAAGTCTGACAGAGCTCTTGATCACCGCTTCAAAATCCTAGCCAACAAACCTGGTTCTGCTTGTATGAAGTGATGATTATCACCTAACCATTGGTAGCGGTGTGTACAACTCCTTTTTGCTTTGCAGCATACCCAGCTACCGCTACTGCTGCCACGATGGCTGTCGGCTTTGATCAACTTTTAGTTGTACCTGAAGGCGATGAGATAGCTTCAGTAATAACAATGTTTCTCCAAAAATTGTAAATCGATCGAGTTGACTCACGCTTGCGACGGCGCTGATTTGTGCTCAACTCTTACATTTGAATCGCTTTTCCCGGTCCATTTTCAATGTGCTCTGCTGCTTGCCGCTCTCACTGAGTTCAAATGGCACCGGTATTGACAGGCCACAGTACATGTAGGTCCGATATAAGTCTACATATTTTTTTTGGAGTGCTCGATTGGAAGTCATTGAGGACTCATAGGTCATCTTGCTTGATTCTATTCGTAGAAACCTATTCGTTCGTTGCTTTACCCGAACACCACATATACGAAATGCTATCCCATTCGACCCTGTCCCAAAATTCTTTGCTCCGTACCATCATAGCACCGACCAATTATTATCAATCCAATCATTCAACTTCTCGAAATTCCTACATCGATGATGAGTGTTGAAATCCGCCTTCGATCCCACCGGCCCCCCTTCGCGAATCAACAAAGGAGTCACATCGCCCGCACACATGAGCGAAATTCGTAGCGACTCAATGCAGTGATCGATATGCATGCGGTTCTTCAGAGGGCTCATGGAGAGTCCGTCGGGGATACCGGAGAACTTGTCGACTTGATACCAGGTGTACATACGAATCATGTTCAAACTGTTGGAGGAGGAGGAGTCATTTTCAAGCGTGAGAATATATGGACAAAGGTCATGGTGTGTGCAAACTTACCAATGGAGTTGGTGGAAGACTTCTAAAATACCGACATAGTTTGTTCCGATTTCAGGAGGGACATGTCTGAGATGGTCGGATTCTGAGCGATTGAGACCTTGGATTTCTTCGACTGGGATTTCGACGCCGTGCTCTGTGATAGAGAGTTAGTCTCAGTGACTATCTTTCCACAGGATATGTTTGATGTCCCACTATATGTGATCCCCAGCCAAGCCGCCTCTCTCTCAGGAATTGGCGGGCCACGATAGATGTTTGTACTGTTGAAACTTGCGGCAAAGTCGATGTCGATATACTCAACGGCCTCCATTGCCGGAGAGTACATTGAAAGCTGTTTGGCACATTCGAGATTGCTTGGCTTGTGGGAGAGGTCGATGGCGACGATGCCAATTAGCGAAAGCAACAACATGATGATGACTGAGGCTAGACTTGGTAGCCATCGATGGCATAAGGTTGTCCTGGATGGAACTTCCCCGAGTAGTGGGTCGCCGCTTTGTAAGTATTCTTCGTTCGAATCACGATCCGTTTCCTGGGCTGCAATGTCGATGTACTTGGTCTCGTAAGTATGTGCCATGGTCAGTCGATTGGAAGGTGAGTAGGATTGAGAAAAAGAAAATTTGATCCAGGGGATATATGGAACTACTATCCCATTCGCGATAGTTTCCAGCCATTCTTTTCTAGTAGGACGTAAAATACCTTAGGATGGCCGGTGAGTTGAGCTTGGAGCTTCGACGCATCGTTCAGGGCTGAATGCTAAGTTACGCAAGAACACAACAGTGTGCGAGCGGGCATGACCACTGTACACCGTCCATTCAGTACTACATCCCTCATCCTCTCGCTGTGACTCCATCCATGAATCAATTCGAGTCACACCTGGACYGTAGGAAGTCGTACTGCTTATGGCTTCACAACCAAGGTGGTCAGATATCTCTCACCACTGTAGATTTCACTACACCGACTATTAGCTAGGTAGTATGGCATCATAGGGTGGTAAAGTGCCTCTGAACGCTGGGATATACCACGGCGGTAAGCTATCCCGGGGCGGTAAGACAACTCAAAATGGAGACACCGTGACTCCTCGCCCAGTGTTGCACCACTCACCATATCATCTCAGCTCTCCAACTTGAACAGAGGAGATTTTGGTATGGTCAACCCACCCGTGGGGAAGACAATCACAGAGAATGTCGAGGAAACGAGTGACTCCCAACATATAACTCCAGATTCTCGCTCCTCCAAACCATCATCTCCCAGATTCAAAGCTCTGTCCAATACCACATCAACAAATCAACCCCAAAACCAGTCACAATCCTCCATCCAAAATGAAGACTTCCCTCATCACCGCTTCCCTCGCCGCGCTTACGACTTCAACCTTTGCCGCTCCCGTCCCACAAGCAAACATCAATACCAAAGCCTTTGGTCGTCCCGTCAAGATCCTTTCAATGGAAAAAAGCTGGAATTGAAKCCATGTCCAAGCGAGGCGAGGACATCACTGAGTCTTTCAAGAATGACCTCATGATGAAGAGATCCGAAGACATCACCGAATCAGTCAATTACATTCTCGTTCTCGAAAAATCCGCAGATGGTGTAGACGCTTACCAAGAAGAAGTCGATGCGGTCGCAGATCCCTCCAAAGTTCTTGGGAAGCGTGGGGAAGATATCACGGAATCAGTCAATTACATATTGGTTCTGGAGAAGAGTAGTGATGGTGTGGATGCCTATCAGGAGGAAGTTGATGCAGTCGAGGATCCGGCTGATGTTCTTGGCTAAGAGTCTCCTTCAGTCTTGGTAGTTCGTCGGTCAGGGGTGACGAACGCACGAAGTCAGCTTGAGCCAGTGATTGGGCCTTGTGGGGATGCGGCTCTATAGTACATGGATGTGGGAGGAGTGTCTCCTTGGATTATTGTGTTGGTAGATGGCGAAGTGCTTGGGAGGAATAGAACTTTCGTTACTGTTTTCCACATCACAATTTCAGCCGTACGAAGACTAGACTGCTATAGAATATGGTCTGTATCTCTCACTTTCAAGTCTTGGCGTGCACGTATTTTGTTGAAGATTCGAGGACATTCACTTCCAAGGATTCACTTAATTGAATTTTCAATGCAGAAGCTTCTAGCAATCAAGCTTTTGGATATATATAGGGGCTGTCATTCACTCGTAGATAGGCAAGCAATCAAGTCGTGAATTTCCAATACGTTTAGGTCTCTTTCTAGATAAATCATGGAGTGCGGGTAATTACCGTACGGTCACTTCAATTGTTGTTGATACCCTCTTGGGCGTTCCCTTTGAACCGAACGTAACTCTAACCCTCGTTCGAAGGTGACATCTGCCCTACTTTTCCTCTTTATTTCTCAGGGCTAGAGTTAACGGCTAAACTTAACACTCCCCTATAGTCGACGCAAATGGAAGTTTATCGACCCATGGTGCGCGATGGTATGATTAGGAACAGTTCGTACGAGTTTCCTCAACGTGGACACGGTGTATCGTTGAGACCTGGACCAAGATGCCGAAAAGCTGGTTCAGATCAGCAGGACCAGCGACCTCAATRCTGAGATGCTCGGTGATATTACATGGCATTACACGAGAGGATATCAGAGGAGTCATAAATTCCGTTGAAACATATGGATGTTGGATCGTCGACAGATTTGAGGTGTCATGAATCTTTCTGCGGACAGGTATGTGACTATGGACTGAGCCATACGAACAGTACGGAGGCCTTTCCGCCATGCACATGTTAACACTTCAACTGTATTCCAATATCTCTATCTTCAACGCTTTATTGTCGCAGGTGAACTAGTCTCTCTCTCCCAATCTCCCCCTTACCACGGCAAGCATCTAATCAACTAATGCTCGGGATCGGTACTCCCTCCCTCGGAGTCAGCTTCACGTAGAAATGCGGTCCAGTAGTCACGAAATAATCCATAGATGACCATTCCCGCGGACCAGCAACAAGACGCATATCATACCGACGAGACAAAAACGCCAAACCCATATGCAGTTCCGCCGAAGCGAGCGGTTCACCCGCACAGTTCCGGATACCCTTGGAAAAAATAACAATGTCCGCTGCTTTGGCTCGAGAGGGTTGTCCGATCCATCGATCCGGATTGAATTCCAGCACGTCGGGACCCCAGATTTCTGGATCTCGGTGCATGGTGTAGGCTGACATGCCAACGACTGAGCCTGATGGAATCTCCTTGCCGTCAACGACTAATGGAGCTCTGCCGTCTCCAGGGACGATGCGTGGGAGACGTCCTGGGATCGCGAGAGCGCACCGCAGGGATTCTTTTACAAAACCGTAGAGTAATGGCGACGCTTCCATAGCGGTCAAGCTGGGGTATCCGGGTGCTGCCTGTTCAAAAAGAGCGTCTACCTCTTCTCTGAGTCGAGCGGCGAGGACGGGGTTTTGAACAAGTTGCCAGCATGCGTAACTGAATGTGAATCCTGTGGTATCGGATCCCCCAGCAATGAGTGCGAGAGAACTGGACATGAGATATTTGTCTGGTAGATCATCCAAGCTTTTCAAGATAGCGGTTTGATTGGCCTTTTCTCCCGTGCGAAAGTTGTGAAATTCCAATAGCGGCATGATCGACGAAGCTTTTGATGCCACGGATATCGCTACTGAAGCGAGCGCCAATACTCAGCGGGATATTGTCTTGAAGCCAGCAAATGATTGGAAAGTACGCGCGGGCCCATGTTGGGGGCAACTGAGCATCAAATGAGGCCATGATGGGTGTTTGGAAGTCATCGTCGCATTTAGCGATGACTTCACTTGTACCAAAGGCTAACTTGTTCAGCACATCCGGAGGAAGGGCTCTGCACATGCTATCATTGCGATGTATGATCCCGAGCAGCGAACGATGAGTTGATTCAAGATAGTAGATTCAAGGTGCGAATGCCAGACTGTGAGCAGAATACCGAATTGCTCATCATCAGTTTGGTGTTGGCCTATCGTGTGGTTATCATAAGTTTGAATTTAGCCTATCATGTCCCAAGTCAGCTCCACCTTAGTGATTTTAGCCAATCGCCTCCAAGCTAGGTCTGCCACATTCCGCGTGATGATAGATCAAGAGAGTATTCAGGTTCGATGCTGGCGACGGTGATCTGGCCATCAATAAGTGGCCAAATCAAGTAAGCATGGCGGTTAGGCTCGAAATTTACAATGCAATCATTAATGCTTGTAGATCCCGGCAGACAAATAAGGCTGGAGGGAAAGTGCCTCAATCTACAAGCTAGATGAGACGTGCATGTTTTTCGGGATAGGGCATACGCAGCTTTGTTCTATGTTGATGTCTGAGCTCCACATCCACCTCATAGTGATCCTKCACTATGATTACAACGCTACTTGATGCCAGTAACGAGCCAGAAACTGCTCAGTGGCTCTCACAAATCGATCAAGCTCTGCCTGAGGAACAGGAATGCTAATCGCCAATGAACCCCTTCTAGCCACCCAAAAACCACTCTCCATCATCTCTAGCCAGAATAGCTCTTTCAGAGTCTCATTTTCTTTCAAATCTACAATGGATCTGATTTGCGAAGATCCATTTGAGACAAAATGGCTGCAGATGAGAGAGCCACGGCCCGTGAAGCATAGTTGAGTGCCCTTGGAGACCGCTTGTAACTTCTCCAACATCGCTTGACCACGGCCGTTGAGCTCCTCTACTACTTGCGGAGTGTACACATGCTTGAGACCCGCAAAGCCAGCGCGCATTGTAACAGTGTTGTTATTGAATGTTCCAGAGTGCGGAAGTGCGCCAGGAGTCCGTGGATCAAAGACGTCCATGATGCTTCGTCGGCCACCTAGAGCTCCGAATGCCAAGGACCCACCGAGGTATTTGCCTAGAGTAGTCAGGTCTGGTTCAAGTCCTACAAGGCTCTGTAGCCCGCCAGCTGCTAGGCGAGATGTCAAGACTTCGTCAAAAATGAACACTGCATTGACCTGACAGTTCTAGGTTAGCATTGTTCTGAAATTAGGTGTGTCTCGGGGGGTTGATGATACTTTGCGAGCGGACGCCTGAACTGCAAGAAGAAACTCATCTGTCCCGACAATATTACCAGAAGCGCCCTGCATACCCTCAACCAGAACAGCACCAACATCGGGAGTTTGCTCAATTGCAGTTTGCGCAGCGGAGATGTTGTTATACTCGACTACAACAAAGTTTTGTTGATCGATGGTGTTGGACACTGGTTTGGTCGAAAATCCAATGACACTACCATGATATCCACCGGTGAATACGACCACTTTGTGTTTGCCCGTATAATGTCTTGCCGCCATCAAAGCATGAAGATTGGCTTCCGTGCCTGAATTCATGAAGCGCACAGTGTCGAGATGAAAGCGCGAGCAGATCAGCGAGGCATATCTGACCTCATATTTGGTATTGGCACCTAAATTCGAGCCGTTCTCTTCCAGTGTGGCTTTGATGGCGTCGGCAAGGACGGGTTCCGAATGGCCATAGAGTCCAGCAGAATATTCTCCAAGCAGGTCCGTGTACCTGCGTGATGTCGATGAGAGGCGATTCTCCACAAACCAGAATAAGACTCACTCATGACCATCCTCGTCGACGAGGTAGCAGGACTGACCACGGATCATGCTGACTGGGAAAGGAGCCGTGTGGAGCAMCGATCGGGAGTTTCCACCGGGCAAGTACTCAAGAGCCTCATCGTGGAGCTTCTTGGATTTCAGGTTGCGCTCGGTAAACCGCTGTCTTGCTTGCTCCAGAGCTTCGTCGACCGTGATTGTGATACTACCCATAGCTTCCTGGATGGGTATGGGAAAGTTCGAGAAGCCCGCAGTGGATATTGGTAGACAAAGGGTGAGTGAGGTAAGTGAAGTTTATGAAGTGAATGAAAGACAGGAGGCATAACGCGAATGACCACAAAAGATCCCCATATCGGCGTCGGGATGCTCACGATTCTTCTTTGCAAGTCGTTCCCATCAGCTCGTCGATGGTTTGCAGGCTTGACACGATGGATGGACTGATGCCGTTGTCGCTCTGCCAAGCCCGGAGAGCAGAAGAGCGGGGCTAGGCTCGATCTAGTTAGCCCAATCTGCGTCGGCATCGGCATCGCAATGCTGACATCCCGACTCCAACTTATCATGCCGACGACGTCTATCATGCCGACTACATCCATCTCTACCACCATAGCGGCTCGGTATTGCGAGATCCTGACGGCGACCTCACTCTTACATATGGCTTCTAAACATGTCGTCCGCCGTAGCTCGGGGCGTTCCAGCGCTTCCACTCATCACAGCCAGCCTCCTCTCCCAGTATGTCTGATCCCCAGGTAACGATCGACCTTCAGCCGGCCGTGGCAACGTCTTACTCCCAAGTCGCTTGTATCGGTGCCGGATTCTCAGCGATTGGAGTCGGGTCCAGTCTTTACCGGTGGTATGGCAAGACCGACGTTGTCTTTTTTGAGCGCAGAGAATCGTCTGGTGGGACTTGGTTGGCGAATTCCTACCCCGGTCAGTATCTCCATAGGCCTACCGTCGGCCACGGGATAACGAACAACCCGCTGATGCCAATCATAGGCTGCGCTTGTGATGTACCGGCTGCACTCTACTCCTATAGCTACGAGCAGAATCCAAGGTGGACCAAATTGCTCCCGAGCCAGCCTGAGTTGAAGTCGTACCTTGACGGAGTCGCCGACAAATATGGCTTGTCACAACGGATGCAATTCGGAGTGGAAGTCGAACGCTTCATCTGGAACGACGACTCGAAACGATGGACTCTATTCTTGAAGCACCTGGATTCCGGAGTCCGAACGAAACACGTGTGCCAGGTTCTATTCAACTGTGGAGGAGCTCTCGTCGCACCTAATCCTGCTATATTCAAAGGCCGAGAGTCGTTCAACGGTGATGTGTTTCACTCCACTCAATGGAAGCACAACATTGATCTTACGGGCAAACGAGTCGTCGTGATTGGCAATGGCTGCACGGGCGTTCAAATCGTCGCAACGCTGTCACGAGAGGGGWGAGCTGCAAAGGTCACCAATATAGTCCGCAGTAAACAATGGATCTACCCGTCAATGGACTTTGAATACGGCAGTTTTATGCGATGGGTCTTCCGCTATATACCCGGTGCGCTCCAGCTTCATCGACTTCACATATATCTTTACGCCGAGCAGGAGTATCCAACTTTTCGTATGAATGGCATAGGACGCTGGCTACGGGAGGGCAGGAGAAAGGCGGTGGAGCGCTACATGCGGTCGGCAGCACCAGCACGTTATCACGACATGCTGATACCCGACTTTGAGATTGGCTGCAAGCGGCGCATCTATGACTCGGGGTATTTAAAGGCCCTTCACGACCCACGAGTTCAATTGACAAACAGTCCTCTCCTTGAATTTGTGCCCGCTGGCGTCCGGACCGAAGATGGCATCATTCCCGCCGACATCATAGTATGCGCAAATGGCTTCGACATCCATGGCCAGCTACCCCGAGATAAGATTCTTGGGAAGAATGGCAAAGATCTAGTTGATCACTGGGCGCAATACGGTGGTCCTAGCGCCTATAATGGCACAGCGATCTCCGGATTTCCCAACTTGTTTTTTGTACTTGGTCCTAATTCGGGCACGGGACACACTTCTGCCGTGATTCCCATGGAAAAGTAGGTCGTCCTAACTGGTCTGAACTGCGTTCCTTGTTCTCAAGCTGACGAACTTGCAGTCAAATCAACCAAGCCATGAGAGTGCTAAAGCCCGTATTCCTCGGTACTTCAGACAGCGTTGAAATCTCCGAGCAGGCAGAGTACAACTACGTATGGAAGTGTCAAAACGCTCTCAGGGGGCTGGTATGGCACAAGGGCTCATGTACAAGTGTAGGTAAACCGCATTCTCACACACACACATTTCTGTACTGACTAAACGCGTGGCGCAGTGGTTTGAAAACTCCAACAGGTGGAATCCAGCCTTGTATCCTTGGAGTACGGCTGACTTTTGGCGACGGTGTCTTTTTCCCGTCTGGTCGCATTGGCAGTATAGCACCTCGAAACATCCACCGCCTTCGCGACAAGCCTCACGAAGCGGCAAGACATGGTTTGCTGCCTCTACGCTCTCGCTGATGATGATTGGAACCTCACTCGTGCTGCTGGATCYTCAAAAGCCACTGGGTGCCTTTACGGGTGCAGCATCTGCTTTGAACTTCCTACAGACAACGTCGATGTGGAAGCAGGTTGTCAGGGTTCGATAAGGCAGGGCCATTGGTTGATGGTGTATTCTGTCGTTAATAGAAAGTCGACAGATAGCTGTAAACACCTGCCAGCTTGTCGGCTGATACCCATCACATACGAAAGATTGAAGCACGAAGAGAGCAAACTCGATTCTTGTCTCAGGGGTCAATATCAACTTCATTTCAAGCCAAGGTCAAAACGATGTAAACACAAGAACTCCCGGCATCGATATACTCCAAGAAAGCAGGGCACTTTTCCAGTGACTTTCAGGGCTGCGTTCCCAGCGAGAATTGCAAAAGACGACCATATAAATTGTAGACCCTCAACAAGAATCCAAACTAGCTCGGATTCTTGGGTATATGCTGAATGATCAGCTTCGACCAGGAGACATCCTAATCGAATCCTATCATATGGCTCTCGCTCTGCGGCCACGAGGAAAACTCTCCAGAGTCCGATCTGGAGGTAGTCGACCTGGCAATCGCATAGACGGATTTAAATCACCTCCACCCAAAACGAAACTACGCCTCTAGAAATGTTGTCTATATTTTGAAGGATAGTTTCGATCCGAAATTCAAGGGTTTCCTCAAGATTGAAATGAAGTTGAACAAGCTGCAAGTGATGGAAATTGTCGCCTACGGGCCTGGATTCAAGTGGTAGGTTGGGGTTACGAGTACGTTCCGCGACTTCCCTTTATGGGATCAACCATACGTGATGTATCCTTTGTGCGAGTCGCTTTCCCAAAAGACGAACTGTATAAGAAGAAGTATCTATCCGGAGCGTCTTTTGACTCATTTCTTGACCTGTCCGTTTATTGCTAAGGTCAGGGGCTGCAAGTGCTTGGAGGAAAAGTTTGATTCAGTTTTTCCATTGATTTGTCCCAAAGAACAGCATGGCATGTATTCTAGGCATTGCTCATAACATTAAACGTGAAAGTGGGAGTATTGTATCACATCTTTCAATTTCGTTTGACCGCAGCAGTTACGTTGAAAATAGACGCATTCTCTACGAAGCGAGCGGGTGTTTGTAATCGAGGCTGCGAACATACATAGGCCATCCCCAAGATTATCAAATTCAAGACTGAACCGATTGCAGTCGTGCCCTTGGCCAAAGTGATCTCCACGTCGCTGGGAAAGGCAGCTCTTTTAAACCGGTTCTGTTTGCTCTACGAGGCATTGATTGCCTTCTTCTCACCACGTCCACAACCCAAGTCAGCGATCCGCACAGATCGGCCTCATCACGGCCAGTAGAGCTGCACAGCAACCCATAACTCTGTCCCCACAAAGATCACAAGCCGACAGAGCTCTTCCAATTTGATTCGCAAGTTCTCCAGCTAGAATCGTGGAATCGTTTTGGAGCGATTCCCAATGCTCATATACCCGAACAAGCATATCTGTGCCGTGAAACTTGGTATCAAGGCTCGCCATAAAGAGGATCAAGCTTACTTGGTTCCTGGATGCACGCTGTCTAGGCTGTTGGGACGGTAAATTGTCGAAGAAGTTTGACCCATCTTTCGGATTGTCTATGGCCAAAGCACCTTCAAAGGTCTCACGACAGAGCTTGCGTTGGTCTTAACCGATGTTTCCGAGGAGAGTGTTCGTCTGTAAATCCTCCTCCTATCGAGCGGGAACTCCATCCAGCGTGAGAGCGGGTGAGACGTGAGGTCGAACTAGTCCAGGATAGAATCCGAATCTTGCCTTCGGCTTTGCGGTTTGCATGGAAAGGATAGAAGGAGGGGTCTTGAAAGCCAGCGTCGCCTCGAGAGGGAGAAAGTTAACGGAACGTTGGTGGTAGGCCGCGCTGAGCGATTTAGTCCAGATCCGCAGGACTCTCGGAATCGAGCCGAGACATGCGTCTATCCCTAGATACCAGCACGTATCGTGGTTTCGTTCGTCGCAGAAATGTACGTCATGTAGAATGCCCTGCTCCCCTCTCTGCCTAGGCATCACCATGCCGCTCCAATCGCAATCATCCCAGATAGCTCGGATTTTTGCTCCTCATTCTCGCACCGAACCACCAGAAGATCCAAGGAATCGGCATTAGCACTGCAGCGATACATCCAAACAATACAAGCACCCACTTGACCGTCAACGCCGTATAGAGCGGCTCAGTGGCAATAACCATTCCACCACTCGCTAGATATCTCATAAACGTAATAGCGGCCAATGCGCTTGACGCCACAGTACCATACGTATCCAGCAAGTAGTGGTATGTCGGAGTGAAAAGGGCCATTAGAGTGAAGCCGAATAGACAGCAAGCGCCAAGGCTCGAAAAGTACGAGATGTCGGTGCGGTTGGTGAAGCCAAGCCAAAACATGGCAATGACCAGCAGTGGCGATGCGAATACAGCCGGTATGAGGCGACTTTCAGGTAGCGGGCCGTTCCCTTTGGTGCGGGTTTGGTCACGGCGAGTAACAAATCTGTTGACCACCACAACGTATGGAAGCCCAAGACCAATGCCAACGGCAACGGCAGCGAATGCGGTGTATCTCTGTCCGATGTTGAATGTGTAGGTCTTTGTGAAAATGTAGTCAAAGCCTTCCAGAAAGCCATATATGAGCAGGTAGAGAAAGGTCAGATATAATCCAAACAGCACCGTCGTAGACTCCCGAAATGTGAAGCGAGCGATTCGTCGAAAGTTCTCAGCCAATCTCTGGGATAGATTCGTAGACTCGTCAAATTCCGCTCGATATGTGGCATCTCCTGTCATCTCGCGAAGCATTTGAGCCTTGTATGACAAGATTATCGGCTGGAATGTCTCCGGAAGAAATGCCATGGCCATTAGATAAGCTGCTCCCGAGATGATCAACGTGAACCAGTCGTCCCATCGCCAACCCAGCTCCTGTGTCAACCAACCGGTAACAATGGGAGCAATCGTCGGCCCTAGAAGAGGAGCCAGAGCGAAGAAAGGCCAGATGAGAGCCCGAGTCTTGGTTTCGAACATGTCGGCAAGACTGCCACCATAGATGCTCATCGAAGCAGAAGCAAATAGTCCGGCCAAACCACGAAACACAATCTGTCCGCCAAAGGTAGGCGCCAGGGCTGATGCCATCGTCCAGATTAAGAACATTGCGAAAGTTCCCAAGTAGGTTGGCAACCTGCCCACGGTCTCGCTGCACGGTCCCGCGACGACAGCGCCAAAAGCAACTCCAAAGAGGTACATTGACGCCGCCAGGGATTCTGCTACCTCCGAAACTCCCCAATGCCTTGCCGCAACTTCATGGGATGTGGAATCCGCGGCGGATGACCATCCTGTCACAAATACGAGGAGCCATATGATGACGGTATAGAATAGCTTCCATCTTGTTTCCCACTGCCTGGGGTCGTTTGGATCACAATGTTCGAATTCGACAAATCTCGAAGTCGAGGCCTTCTCTCCGTCGGAACTTTCCGAGCTTTCCAAATCCGTTTGGCTATCCTTTCTCTGAATCCGTTCCTGGTTCGATTGCTGCAAGCGACGGTATTGGAAGTAGGCCTCCATGTTCAGGCCGGCGTGGGTGAGACTGAATTGAAGAGAGTGGCATGATGGCGAGTGATATGCAAGTAGGGCATGCGATCAGCRGCCAACAAACAGTATTTGAGTATAGAGATGACGAGTTGTGCTGCTTTGATCGCCGTCACGCGACACGTTGCCCCATCCAGATAAGTGTCGTTCAAGCACTACGATGCAGTTGTGTGTAAACGGTGGGGCCATGGCCAGTCTAGGGTGCCCAGATCGACCGAGCCGCGAGTCTTGTCTTGAAGAGTCCAATTGTGGTGGGTGAGTGACAGACTGGGCGTTCCAACCGCCCTTGCGTGTGGAAGCGCTAATACAAATGCCGCAGCACCACAATAACGGTGACGACTTTAGAGTTTGTCTTGTCGTTGGTGGCAGTGGGCTCACCCAGTGTTGAGTGCCATATGGACTGCTGAATGCAGAAGGTCGTTGTATAGCGCCCAATGCTTCCGGAGATGCATCTCTACAGAATCACGATACTGTGTTGTAGCCTCGCAACACGTCATGTTGTCGCAGTCTTTATCAACGGGTTGGCCGAATGCACGAGGGCTGGCTTTGGCCATCGCCACTGGCGGGTCCGATATTTCCAGGAGCTAACTATAGGTGCTGGGCTGACTACGAGCACGATGGCAGATCTCCGTCTTCTCCGGTGATTGTGGGTGGGTGTCTGAGGAAATGGTCAAAGATGAATGGATCAGATTGATCAAGTTCTGGGTGAGAAATACTTCGACGATAGGACGCCGGAAAGAGTCACGTGCTGTTCGAGCCTCAGGCAACATTCCAACTCTAAGCCGCGGAGGTCGAGGACAGAATCCACCAACTCACATTCACCTAACATCAACATCACTGGCAAATTATACGAGCGGGATTTCAATGCTGAGCTAGTATGAAAACACGTAAGATGGGCATCGGAGCATATACTACCAAAGCACGCCAATCAGACGACTTTGCGTGTTCTTCTCCCGCCCTGGAGAGAGCAAACCTCACCTTGTGACAGAGCGGCATGACCGGCATCGCGGCCACCACTGCCATTCAAGCGGACAGATCTAGCTCCGGTGTCCTTCGGCTCCATTTGGTAGTGGCAGTCGATGGGTAAGCACTGTAAAGCCCACGACACTCCTACCAAATCGGGAACGGCTTCGCACCGGATCAATGCTTCACTATCCCCTGCATACAACCGCAGCCTGGAGGTTTGCAGTCCAGATTTTCCCGGACAGCCTTATTCAGAAGCCATTTTCTAAGAGATCTTCCCATCCTGTGAGGTGAAGATTTGATGATGGTCCTCGTGGTCATCAATCTGTCAGACCTTCCCGAGCATACTCTACTACGCCGAGCTTCGTGAAGTGCCCGACTGCCTCTGCGTAGACCATCGTTGGAAGTGGAGGCCGTCACCGAGTACTCGGCTGCCACGAATAGTGCTGCTTCCATGCTTGATGCGGTTATGTTTGATGGTGAGATTCATTGGGAAGCAAGTCAGCCCGGGACCTAAGATAACAGGCCACCAATCTTGGAACTCTCTTACAATATCCTTTCAGAGTCGAAGCCCTTGTCGGACACGGCATCTACCAAAAGAATCGTCAAGTCGGTGCTACTGGCTCTCATCTTTGACGGTCGCTCGATACATCGGGAAGCCCGCGGCCCGGAGGAAATGTATTTTGGCAGCTGTTTGCTGGCTTGGAGGCCGACTCCGACTTCTCGACGATATCGCTCATTGCAAACGGTCTCAATGCAGGCATCAAACTGTATGATGCTCAGCATGGTCATAATTTATGCGGCATGACCCCGCAAACGCTCGCACATACCAACTGGCTGCCACTCAGCGTAGTCATTATGTGACGAAGGATCCTCCCGACGCTACGGTGTGAAGTTGAGAGAGTCAGGCACTCCTTGAGTGCCGATCAACAACATTGTTGAGGCTCATAACTTCACGGTACTGGAAAGACTGCGAGATACAGATCACCTCCCAGTTTCGCAGCATCAACGAAGAGTCAGCGAGTGGCCGAATCCATTCCGATCTCGCGTTGAGTGATGTCAAGTCGCAATCTCCCAACATTGTGAATCTCGGACGGCATCAGAACTGCAAAGAAGATGTCGGTGAAACCAATCACGGCCTGTCATAACAACCCGGTCTCGCGAATATTTTGGGCGCTCGCACGCCCCTCGAACGACTCGCATGGGATCTGGAGGCGACTGCCAGTGACAACACGAACGTCTCCACCGTGACTGGGTCACATTTCATGTGATACGGATCCGCGCATTTTCGCCGTTAAAATCTCTTTTCGTAAGTACATTGATGATCAGAATGGACATCATCTTCGATCGAGCTCCATCAAGTCCACAAACTACATGCACAAGTCGAGTAAGGAGCTCATTGCAGCCTGCAGCTTAGCCTGCACAGCTGCAAGAACAGCATCACTTGGCACAGCAACAGCCTGCGTTTCTGCTGGCTTCTCCTCGACAACACTAGGCTGGTCAATCCTACTACTCGAGACTGGTATGTCTCCATGTTCGTGAAGTGAGAGGCGCTCTCGACGTCGTTCGTCATAGCTGCGTTTCAATACTGCAGAGACGTTTGACAATCCCTTAAGATAATTGCTTRGCCCTGTCCATTGATCGTGATAGGTCGTAGAAAAGTGCACGGTGCAGATCCTGCTACCTTTCGGAGGATAACTGCTCACGCTGATCTTCTTGGCCATCTCATCCCGCGCTCCGTGTGCTTGATCAGGCAATTTCCGGAGACAACAGTCTGCCCGTGACTCAGTTCATTGCAGCATCTCGTGGGTTTGGCTAATCTTCCACATGTTCTACACCGCCCATGCGACGGAAGGGCCCTCGCTCCGTCCCTGCGGAATCCACTCCGACTATAGACTTTCGTCTACCTGCATGAAATTATGCGATGCAATGCACCGAACTGCCCCTCGCTAGCAAACCTTTGTCAAAAGGGCCACTCCGCAGACCACTCGACTGACCACACACCAGAGGTTGAGACAGATGTGAGGGTACTCACTCCAAGACGTTCTGACTCGAGGCTCCGTTCTGGGTTTCCATGCGTTGGCAATATGGAATGATCCTAAGGTACCTGGCTCAACACTGATGGGGTGAATGTATAAGTATGAACGATTCTGGGACGAAACTCCTATCTTTCACTCTTACCTTCACAATCCACCATGATCAACAACATCATCACCACCTTCGCGGGCCTCTCGGCTGTTGCTCAAGCAGCAACCGCTGGTCATCGTGCTGGACCCAAATGCACCGACTTTCTTATCCCAGTGCATGCTTCCAGCTCTAAGATGGTTCCGGCAGGAAACATCCCTGATGGTATGGCAAAACCTGAGGTACTGGTTGACTACCTGCTTAGCCAGGCAACATCCAGTCTCATTGCTGGTCCCCTTGGTGCTATCGGCAGTGTTGAGCAGTCTGGCGACTTCGAAATGTCCGCGAGATACTGTGAGCCAGCTGTACACGTTGCTTCCCGCGCCCACACAATCCAGTATCTTCAACACGCCATCACAAGCGGYAAGGACTACTGGAATGGAGTGACATACCCTGTGGGTTTCGCCGGGGACATGTACAGCTATTCCAAGGCAGCTTCCGATGTGAGTACCGGGCATTGATCTATGCAATGAGCATCAACTGATGAACTCTTCAAGAACGGCTACGCTACGATTGCTCTCGACAACCTCGGAAGCGGCAACAGCTCCCACCCAGACCCCGTCGCTGTTGTGCAAATGGCACTCCAAGCTCAAATCGCCCACGAGATCATCACCATGCTTCGCGAGGGTAAGGTTCAGGGTCCCGTTGCAGGCAAGACCTTCAACAAAGTCATCGTTAGTCCTTCTGAACGAAAATTTCAGCTTTTCAAGCGGTGCTGAAACATCATCTAGTACGTCGGCCACAGCTACGGTAGCATCATGGGCAATGCCATTGCCGCCACTTTCCCCGACGACGTCAACGCGTTCGTCCTCACGGGATACACCGGCGAGTTCGTAGCAGGTGCCCCTCCTCTTTTGTCCGGAGTTGCCGTCCCCGCTGCATTGGCCATGCCCAAATTCGCAGATCTCCCTGTTGGTTACCTCGCTCAGACCTACGAACCAGGCCGTCTCTACGCCTTCTACACGGTCGACAATGTTGGTGGCTTTGACCCAGCGATGCCCCAGTACGATTTCGACAACCAGGGAACCGTTGCCCTTGGTGAGTTTTGAGATGTCTTCCACTCTTCATCTTCTTGCTCTGACAATTTCTTCCACTAGGTGAACTCGCTACGCTCTTCTATGGTCTTACACCTGCCAAGGAATTCACCGGCTCTGTTTTCGTTGTCACCGGTCACCAGGATGCGATTGTGTGCAACAATCTCGGAGGCGCAGACTGTTACAAACCAGCGAACAAGTTGGATGCGGCTAAGGGGTTCTGGCCCGCTGCAAAGGACTATAGCTACATCATTCCAGAGAAGACTGTAAGTGGTGGATCGCTGAGATGCTGTCTTCGAAGATATCGTCGACGCTGCCTGAATGGCGCTTCGAAAGTCCATTGAACGTATACTGACTCTCGACTTCGCAGGGACATGCCGCCAACTTGCACTACTCCAGCCCGGAGTCGTTCAAGAAGGTTCATGCGTACCTCGCATCGCAAGGTCTCTAAGTAATTACTTCAATCGCAGTCGAATCTCCAGGGGTCATATTTTGATCACTGCTAGCCCATTGTAACGAGGTTGCCTAGAGCTTCGAAGATCCAGACTGTATGATTTCGCAGCGGTACAAGGCAATCTGCTTGTTAGTCAAGACCCTTCTTTTCTCACTGGTACGACTGGGTGTATAGTCTCTTATCATTTCTAGTATTTCGAATAGAATAGACTTCCACCGCTACAAAAATCCGTCCTCTCCATTCCGTCCGCGAGTGCATGAGATAAGATTCCGGAGTTGTGTTTTCAACAGTCGATGGCGCAGAGTACGCCACAAGGTTCATTGACATGGTAAAGACTGTTTAACAAAACCACCTCATCGATCAAGTAAACCCCATATATATCATCCCGTCCGCATCTCCCCCTGTGCTTGAYTCCCCAGAATTCGCATCATGGTATCATCAGAGTTCCGGATCAACCTAGCCAGATCATTACTTTCGTGAAAACAATCCCAACCGGACGTAATGCGTGACTTTGATGTGATGCGAGATATCATCACAGATGATATTAGAAGCAGGTCATTCCAGAGGTAAAAAACTCATTCAAACGCATATCCTTTATAGACTTTCGTCGTTCTCCAGTGTCGGATCCTTTCATGTATAAGGTAGAGAGCTATATTTGGAAAGCAAGCCTGACAGAAGTATTATACAAACAAATAACCTCGTCTTTCTTACCTCGTCTGTTTTTAGACAAGACATTGGATTGGTTCGGCAGCAGCCAGAAATAATCTTCACCTACACTATACTCTCCTCTGCAAGTGAAGCAGGTTTTGTTTTGCGTGGGGTGTATCGCAGCTTTAAAGGGCATTTAACAGTGGCTGATGACATGGATAGGTACACTATTGGACAACTGGGCCGGCGAGGCTGTGTGAGAAGAAGGCCGCCCATACTCCACCACAAGCGAGCGAGACGATAAGCGAAGGGGGGCTGTAAAAGAATCCTCGAGAGTGACGGGATACGTATGACGGGGTTTCTCCCTCCCACATCTCTCATATCTCATATCTCATATGATATCTCTGCTACACAAGCTACATTCACATCTCCACGCCTACATTAACCCCGAGTAATCTCACTGCGAGTACAGATGTCGAATTCCACAGACTTATGTATCCGTCTAGCGAGAATCCTACCGCAAAGCCACATCATCACGAGACGAGACAGCAGATCCAGCCAGGATTACAAGAATCCCATCGACCTCGTGGAATGCGGTGTATTCTCCACACCTCTAGCTTCAGCGCCACCATACAAAGCGCTCTCGTACGCATGGGGCAATCTAGACATCGTCGAGCCAATCCTACTTCAAGGCAGATTAATCAAAGTAACAACAAACCTCGAAGCGGCACTAAGACATCTCGCCACGACAATCCGCGAGCCTTTGACGATCTGGATTGATTCCATTTGTATAAATCAAGAGGACGAAAAGGAAAAGACTGAACAAGTTGGTCGGATGCGAGATATTTTCTCGCAAGCTGAGGAGGTCATTGCATGGCTTGGTCGTAGTGAAGATCCGGATGGAGCTCGGTGGGCGCTACGGTGGATGAAGGAGTGGGGATCAAAAGCCGTAGATTTGGGGATTGGTTCCACTCCGGAAATGATGTTGAGGAGAGTGCTTGTCAGAACTGAAAGCTGTACTAACATCATTGATGGGATTGAAGAGCGGGAATTCGCTACCAGCCTCATGAAAGAATTGAGCAGCCATGCGAATCCACGATATGATTCTTTAATCACCGCTCTGCAAGACTTCATGGACCGTCCGTACTGGAGTCGTATTTGGGTTGTGCAGGAGGTGCAAATGGCAGCACGAGTGACATTTGTATGTCCCGAGGGCGTATTGGAACCCGATGCTCTCAACGCAGCTTTGAGAATCCTCCGCAACTTCAGACATTGGCAACTGATGAAGCGCGGTAGCGGAAAACAAGCGCATCTGATGAATTCCAGCTTTTCTGATCCGGTCTTGGAGACCAATCCCAGCCACGCACTGAATCTGCTCAAACTCACCCGCACGGGAGGGTACGGCATGGTATCCTTACTCCGACACTCGCGAATGTGCAAGGCAACAGACCCAAGAGATAGGATCTTTGCACTTTTAGGCGCCTCCATACACGCCGAGCGTCTGGGTCTGGAACCGGATTACAGCTTGACGTGCGAGCAGGTGTATACCGACGTAGCGAGGAGACTCCTGCAACGTGGACATTTCGAGCTGCTAGAATCATGCACCCACACGGTGGATAGAGCTGACTCAAAGCTGAATCTGCCATCCTGGGTGCCGGATTGGACAATACCACCGACACGCTCGGCATTACAAGAGAGGGGATATCCTGGAGCGCAAGGAGACAGCTCCAACAGATTACAGCCAGAATTTCGAGCGAGTGGRGCGCGTGTTTCGGCTGAGATTGAAGTCCTTTCTTGGAATGATCCTCTCATCCTGTCGGCCATAGCGATTGGGCAGGTCTGCCTTGTTGGCGATGCGTCAAAAGAAAGAGGCACCAGTCACTGGCTCCAGACCATACATGACTTGGCACAAGCAACGGCGTGTCGCTACTCATATTCCGCCGGAACGACAGAAGCAGTGTGGAGGACCGCCGTTGCAGACCAGCTAGTTCGCAACGGCAAGTACAAACCTCGCTTGCGTGAAGATGAAGTTGAGCGACTCAAAGCATGCTTTTCGAACAGGRCATATTCTTCTCTTCAGCCAAAGGACTTTGTCGACAATGACATGGGTTTGTATGCGGAGCAGTTGAACAATTTTAGCCGGAACCGTCGACCATTTGTCCTGTCGAGTGGACATCTCTGTGTTGGACCTGAAGAGGTGGCTGTTGGAGATCGTGTGTTTCTTTTCCTGGGCGCCAGTGTGCCGTACGTTCTTCGATCGCGAGATGACGATAGCTTCGTTTTCGTTGGGTCGGTGTACGTGCATGAATGTATGGACGGTGAAGCAGCTGGTGACGATGCCGTAGTGCAAGTGATTGAGATTCACTGACTGTGGCCGGGCACAAGTTGGATTTGAGCATTCTTCAGAGCACTTTCACATCGAGCAAGCGCATTCAATCTCTTCATGCATAGAACCGACCTAGATGCCAGAGAATTGGAACTTGGCCCGCAATTAGACTTTGCTGCCTGAGGCTAGTAGTCGTAACGCTGGTCCAACTAGATGCTGGCTCCCGGTAGTGAAGATATGTGCCTTGTCGGTCTGAGATCCAAGCGTTTCGGCGAGATTGATTGCCTGCGTAATGGTCGAATCGCTCCAGGTGCTTGTTTCAGGGAATATTGACTTCCAGATCGAGCTAAAGGAAGCAGAAACATCAATTTGGCTTTCTCTCGGCTCATCAGATATAGCATAGGTCGTGAAAACGATGTGCTGTACGTCTGCCTTACAATCTTTGAGGTCTGAAACCAGCTTCTGGAGTAGTGCAGCTCCATCCCGTAGCTTAACATGGTGGCTGAATATCACGATGCGGATGAGTGTGTTTGGTGATAGTTGTAACTTATGACTGCCCGTCTGGAACCAGCGAGACGCGAGTGCTATGCTGATATCATTGTGCGCCAAGTTTGATCACCTTCCGCGATGGTTTGGAAGCGCCCTGCCCAGCACCAGTTCTCGATCCCGACTTGTATGTCATCTTCATTCAAATGGTTTGATTCGCCAGCGCCATTTCGAGAGAGTAAGGCGTTTGCAACTGCGACTGCAAGGGATGCATTCTTTCGTTGCACCGCTGGCTCCAGATTTAGGTGTGCTGGTAGTGTAGGGTCCTCGCCAACGAATCTGACACCCTCACACTTTTCTTGTGCGCGGGCAGAAAGAACTGCGGCAGGCTCAGGATCTTCAATCGTGGATAGTGAAGGCACGCCCTTTCTATAGATGCATGCTTTATGCCAGGCTATGTCTCGAATCGTGGGGCCCAACATCGCGATTTGGTCCATTCCTAATGTGGTTATGGCTGTCACCGCTGGCCGAGGGATAATGTTCGTCGCATCGTATTCGCCTCCGGCGTGAGTCTCTACAATGGCCACATCAACCGCTTCTCGAGTGAAGACGTGGAACACAAGCAACGCCCATAGTTGTAGATAGTGTGGACCACGGTCTACTGCCAAATTGGTGAAGTCATACTCACAAGAGAGCTGTGGCAATCTATCATAAACCTCGAAAAAGTATTAGGCAAGTTAGTCGCGGGTTATTGGTTTGAAGCTGAGTCGAATGTGTCCTTCCGGGTTGACAAGATGAGGAGGTGTATAAAGGCCGGTCTTTTGATATATCCCGTGCGAGCTCCGTGCATTTGAAGGAAGCATTCAGTGAACGCACACGTGCTTCCTTTCCCTTTTGTGCCTGCTATGCGGATTGCATTCAGATCGTTTAACTGCTGGTCCTTGGCCATGTTCAGTATACGTGCAAGAGGAAGTCGAAGCCGTATTCTCTGCAAACCGAGTRTCCAAGCATCTCCGACCACTCTGCCATGCCGACTGTAGCAGCCAATCCGCGAAGATCGAAAGTGATTTTGGCTTGCCATTTCTCTGATCGGTCGTATGATCCAGCGATGGTCTCCTGAGCCGTAAGCGGCTCCTCGTGATTGTCAGGGCATTCTGTTCGCATGATTAGCAGGGTTATTGACGTCAAAAACACAATTCACAGTACCTCGTATGTACGTTCCACGCCATCCATCCCGAACTTCGAAGCCATGTGTGATTTCCTGAGCTTAGCGGGAGCGCCAGAACTGACAGCTACACAACATCTAGCTGGGATCGTACTGCTGTTGAACCTCTTCGTCCCGTACAGCTTCCTCTACAGATCCAGAAACACAATTGTGTGCGTCGGTGGCATCCTGCAGGGCCAAACCTTGGCGGAGCCTCCAGCGAGAGAGCATCATATGTGTATTTGCAATCTTGAGATGTGTGGCTGGCTTCAGCTCCCTGAAGACAGTAATTACTCGGGATCGCACTCACATCTGACCGTGATGTCCCGGAGTTGGCGAGTCGCAGCTCTCGGACAAGGCCGTGCCGTAGCCGACGACACAGCCACTTCCCCGCCGAGGGCCGGCCCGCCCTCCGCAGCACTAACGCCCAATGTTTTGACATTCCCCGACAATGTGTGCGGTCTAGTCGTCCTAACTTGGTGCATACACTCGGTTACCCAACATGGATGACTTCTCACTGCAAGAAGAGCTCGAAGCCCTCGCGGGCAACGCTTTTGATTCTGTAGCAAACCCAGACTGCCGACCAGAACCCATGAAAGACACGGTTGCACGATGGCAGAAGCTGTTCAAACTCCCTCAAGACACAGCCGTGGAACTCATCATGACCCATCGAAACAATCTGACCCGCACCCGTGTCTCTGACGATCTGTGGGATACTATTCGTGTGGAAAAGGAATCTCACGGATACGACCGTGAGGCCTACGAGTATGAACTTGACCTTCAGAAGAAGAAGGCCGTACTTCCAAACCTTGTCCCATCTATAGACAACTCGGAAAGTACAACCACCTACCTGGTTGAGCTATCTGGTGCTTTGGAGACCGTCGAAGATGTTCAACGAGCCGCTGGGCTTGACTTGCCACCGCCTGTAGTCAGTGGGGAGAGCGTTGAAGATGGGCGGCCAGTGTCGCTGTGCTGTGTGGACAGTGCTGCCAAGTTGAAGATTCTTCATTGGGCGAGTACCGAGGGTGGGGGATTTGAGCCTACTATTCTGGTAGATCCTAGATCTGTGCGTTGAGTCAGGCTGGGTGGTAAGAACATATCTCTCTGGCTGACGCTGCAATTTTGGTGCTAAACGTGAAACTCCTACCATCGAGCAGCTTCGAAGGATTTCACTCCAGTCACATCGACTTGTCCTTTGCCTCAGATGTTCTAGAAAGCATCGCAAAGCCAGGAAGACCAATGGCTGTATGGAGAGATGTCAAGAGAGAATGCGACGCGGCGCGAGACACTTCTTCCATTCAATCCGTCAAGGCACTTATCGACCGATGACGATTCATCCAAAGCGGAACAACAGCCAACAAAGCACACGACTGAGACATAGACAGCCCGTATAAGTACAACAGCTTTCCGATTCTCAACCAGGGCACTTCTAATCGATCTCTACCACCTCAAGTTTGCAACATCATTCGATCTGAAATCTCTTCGGGGTCAAATTCTCAACAAGCCAACCACATTCGCGAGTCTTCGGATCAAGTATTGAAAGCTCCTGAACCAATTGACCGCTGGCTTCAACTAACAAGTCCTCGATCACCAGGTAGTCCAACGAATCAGTACAAGAACAAGCTCAAGCAAGAATCCGCCATGAATTTCTCAACTTATCTCGCCGGAGCCATAACCCTGCTCATTCCCACCATCCATGGCGGACCCGCCGCTTACGGCATTTGTCAAGCGGGATGTGCCACACTCGTCACCGTATGCTATGCCGGTGCAGGATCCGTCTTTGGAGTTGCTCTACTAGCTGCACCTCCTGCCATTGTGGCTTGCAATGCAGCGTTCGGTACTTGCCAGGCAGCTTGCTGGGCGGCTCTCGTTGCTCCTACTCCATGATTGAGTGCGATAAAGGCAAATACATTCACAATTGGAAGCTCAAAGGGAATTTTGAGGTGCGCGGCACTGAAGGACAACCGTGATACATAATTGATCAATGGTTTAAGGGATGAAGGTTTTCTTGCATCTTTATTCGTTATGTTCCAGCTCGTTGTTATGGGGTCTTGAAGGACTGAGCATGGTTCTCATTCCTGTCATCAAGTCGTTTTCTGATCTCTTCTCGGACGTTGAACATTCGAAAATTACTCCTTACGACTGAGAGCCACGAGTACATCGATGGTCTATCAACGTCAAGTTTGTGTTGCGAGTGCATGAATCACAAGGTAATAGTGACCCAGATCAACGTAGATTATCCCGGTCTCACATCCTAGTGTCTAAAGCGAAGTTGAGATGCTCCACATTCAGTCGGGGATCAAGCCCTCGAAAGAATCACCACAGCGATTCGATATGTCTCTGAACCTGCATTTGTTTGAGAAACGCTTCAGTAACAAAGTGAGTGAGTTTTGATACCTCATCTTACACTTCAAAACTGGTGGCGGACACATAAATTTTCCCCGCGTAGACAGTAGGGAATGTTGCAAGTACGCCCCTGATTATCAATTGGCATGTGAGAGGCTTGAATCACAACCAATGTGCTGCATGATTATTCGTCTTTGAGGTATACAACTTCTCTTCGTCTCACTTATAAAGCCATCAAGTCTCAAATCGGTATGAAAATAGCCTCACTAATCTCGCCTCCTTTTCGAAATTACTGCAATACGAGACTATTGTCTGAATGATCCAGATATCGTTTCGATGCGACTCTCCAATGTCTTCGCCAGAGCTTTGTTGCTGTAAGACATGGTTTGTTGCATGCATTCGCCTGCCAGACAGGATTGTCATTGAGGAGCCTCTGTAAAAGTATAAAGGTTTCGCCAACTCGTCCATTGTAGAGCTCAAAAACAACAGCGTCCTTCATTCCACACAGATACAAAGGTATCAACTCACTACCCCTCACAACAGAGACTCCAAGGGTAAGTCATACGATAAGTGGCTTGACGAAATCCAAAAAGACAAGATCAAGAATCAACGAATCTCGATACGTTTCAACGTACAAGAAGTCTCCTTCGCCATTTCCTCCGCCAATTCTTCAACCACACTTCTTGTGAGATCTCTCATATCCTCCACCACCACCACCACCAGTATCAAGTAAATGCTACTCATCGAGCCTTCCATCATCTCAAACAAAACACCACAAAAGCTAACCCGCCTCCCCGCCCCTCGACAGAAATGTGCAGAGCATGCCCCAACACCTCCGTCATGGGCTATGACATTTACTACAGCTACCGCCAGCGACTTTGGTGTGGTCACTGGACCACTAAGATTTACAAGTGTCGTGGTGTAGGCCGTCGTAGAGTTTGCGGAAATTGCGCATTTTAAGAGAAGAAGAGGCGGGAATTCTCGAGCTGGATGGAAGTAGTAGTCAAGATGAGAGTATATCCAGGCCTGTTAAAGCCACCTCGTAGCATCCTTCACATGAGTACTTTGGCGAAACTTTGCCCTAATCCCCTGATATCCAACCACTGTTCCAAACCTTTCATATCCGAACGATTGGATCTCTGTCCTCGCTTCTCTAATTGATCTGTAATTTCCTCCATTCCAGGAAATGCCCTCTCGACATACATCTCTCGTAATACCTCGGATACTTTCTTATGTCCTGCAGGAATATTCCCCCAAGATTCCGTCTTGATGAATTTCATGAAATCGTCTATTTTTTGGGGCTCGCCTTCGAGACATAGCACACCGGGTTTCCCAGCCAAGAGGAAGCCAGTTAGTGAGTAGTGAGGCGCGTGATTGACTAGATCATCCCGCTTCTCTCTTGTGCTGATGGAGGGAAAGTAGAACCAGGCTCGGACTTCTGGGTCTTTGGTTGCCAATACAGCAGCGCTTGGAGTCTGCTGTAGTGTGGTGATGTACTCGTAAGCTCGTTCCCGTACGTGCTCGATCGCTGACAGGATGTCATCTTCGGGCATACCGTCCTGTAGCCGGGTAGCTTGCGCTTTCGTGAGCCAGTCCGCATTGACTCTTAATCTCCCTTCTTGGGGAACTTCACCAGTGGAAACATCAACAGGAGCCAGTGGAAGCTCAATATTCAAAAGAAGTCTTCGAAAATCTCTCTCAGAGTCCGTTGAAATTCCCAAGCTGAGACACAAGGAAATCGTTGCTGGCAACTTGGGCTGATGAGCAGTCTCGTCTTCGCACCACTGTCTGGCTTGGAGAAGTATGTTGTCTGTTTCGGGGTCTATGAGCATTTCATCAGACGACGGGTACATGGCTCGTAGAAGCTCGATGTGGTCCAGTCGGAACGCCACATCTTCGCGTTTGGCGGTGGAAATCATCTCGGGCTGGCAATTGCATTTCTGTAGATGAGATTATTGCGTTGTGGTGAGAGCGAAGATGAAATGAAATCGAGACAAGGTGAAGTGGACGCCGCTGGCACGCCCCGCTCCGCCCCGCTGGCGCACAGACCGTCTACGGCGCGTTTTTAARAACAACTCTGCAACAATCCTTTTAGGCGATAGTGCGACGCTAGCATTATAGGGTATTAGAACCTCGGTAATTAAAGGTGTATTCCGTATAATAAGTAACAAGTAGCGTAATTTAATATGCGCGTACAATGTCCTCGCTTTCTATCTTTAAAGTAATTTTATTTAAGTCTACGATACCTAAGTAATAATAGTAAGGATAAAGTAAAGGTATAATAGCATTACGCGGGTAGCTATATAACTCTTTATATAAGTAAGTAAGATCTCTAAAAGAGTAGTAGGATAAAGACCTACTACTCTTTTAGCGACTCTTATTAATACCTAAATACTAATATTAATACCTACTACTCCTACTACTATACTACCCCTTTACTACTTACCTATATCCTCCTCCCTTTTCTATACTACCCGTATAAAAGCCTAAGAAGGCGAAGAAGCCTAAGTTACTATACCTATAGCTAGGTTATATCGATACTACGAAATACTAGAGGGCTAGAACTTTCCCTAAGGATCCGGATAATAATAGCGAATACGGATATTTTAAGTAGAACTTTATAAGAGTATAAGCTAGGAATTTAACACTTTAAGAGTAGCGCTAACCCGTATAATAGCTTAAGAAAATAGGATTCTCCCTTAACCGCGAGCAGAGGGAG